GCTGTTTCTCTCCTGCGTAGCACGGTCACACCCCCACCAGTCTTTCCAGGGCCCCAGTTCCTGGGGGCAGCTGGGAAGGAGGGCGGAGGAGGCCTGCCCGGGGTCTCCAGCCCCAACTCGGACTGTCCATTTGCAGGAGCCATGCAGGGCCATGTCTACTGCCCAGGAGGCCCGGATGTCTTCAGCCCCATGGAAGAAGGGATCCAGGCTTTGGGTGGCTACGCTGGTCTTTGCCACAAACATTGATGCCTTAACCTGGTGTTTGGGGTCCACGCTCGTGTGTGTCCAGCTTTGGGAGTGGAAAGGCTGAGAGAGTGTGATCCAGGACAAGTACAGCCTCACATCTTCCTCCTGGTCCAGCACAGCCCAGACACAGGGCTAGCGCACAGGGGTGGAGGCACGGGCAGGGTCCCTCACTCAGCTGGCAAATGTCCGGTCACATTTACCACGTGCCAAGCTCTGTCTGGGCCATGGAGACCCAAAGACACACTCAGCTGCTCTGCCCTGACACATTCTTTTTCTTCTTTGGGTTCATGGAGGAGGAAATTATCTTAATGCCTCAGGGCCTTTGCATGTGCCATTCCTGCTTCCTGGAATCTCCTCCCCACAGCTCTCCTCTTTGCTTGCCTGGCCAGAACCCACTTTGTGTCTCTTCAGACATGGACGGGGTAGACTATTCCCTTTACCTGTGCAAATACTTCTCCTTTGTAAATGTTAGCACAGCTGCATGAAGTAATGTTTTCCCTGCATCCGATCTAATTTCAGGTCGGTTGCCACTCTTGAGTTTCTAAACTCCATGATGGCAGGTGCATTTCTGGTTGCTCAGAGCCCTAGCGGAATGCCTGGGTGCAAGAGACATGGTGTCTTGTGCTTGCTAAAGTCCCAAGCAGCGCTGTCACCAGCTCACAGCTGGATCCAGGCGTGCTAGCGATGTCATCAGAGCACAATTTTCCTCCGTCTCTTGGCTTTGACTTCTGTGGTACTGGCTGTCCCTTGGGAAGGCTCTGGCCCCCTGTTGACTGCATCAGGTCCCTCCTTCCATCCTTCCAGCCTCGGACCAGCTGGGAAGAAAAGTAAGGGCTTTGGGAGGCGGGTCACGCACACATGGTCCTGGTTCCATCGGTCATTTGCCACCTGTCTCAGAAATCCCGTGTGACACAGTGTCTTTCTCCCTCGTGACCTTGTCTGTAGCCTTGACCCCAGTCACGAGCCCCTGGGCTGCATTTACTGTCACCACTGGTTCTGTTTCTCCCATGTGACAAATGTAGCAATGCACCCATTTTTTTAAAAATTCATTTGAAAGATGGAGAGAGAGAGAGAGAGAGAGAGAGAAAGCTTCCATCACTGGGTTACTCCCTAAATGGTTGCAACAGCCAGCTCTGGATCAAGCCAAAGCCAGGAGCCAGGAGCTTCTTCCAGGTATTCCATGCAGGTGCAGGGGCCCAAGAACTTGGGCCATCGTCCACTGTTTTCCCAGGCCACAGCAGAGAGCTGAATCAGAAGTGGAGCAGCCAGGACTCAAACTGGCCTCCTATGGGATGCCTATGTCTCAGGCAGTGGCTTCACCCGCTGCACCGCAGTGCAGATCCCGCACCACTGTAAGCTCTCACCATATGCTGTCATAAGTTCTTTTTTTCAAAATCTTTTTTTTTCAGCCGTGAAACAAAAAACTTTTATTGTCACAAAATAAAAAATGAAATCTAACTGCAGAGTGACCAGGCCGATTTTACTAATGCATTTCCTGACATCAAACCTCCCATTCGCTACTTAGGAAGTAAATATTAATAATAAATATAAGGTATTCTACCTGACCTGGAATCATTGTTTAAAAAATACTTTATGGTGCTGGCACTGTGGCATATTGTGTAAAGTCACTGCCTGCAGCACCGGCATCCCATATGGGTGCCAGTTCGAGTCCCAGCTGCTCCACTTCTGATCCAGCTCTCTGCTATGGCCTGGGAAAGCAGTGGAAGATGGGCCAAGTCCTTGGGCCCCTGCACCCATGTGGGAGACTTGGAAGAAGCTCCTGGCTTCTGGCTTTGGATCGGTGCAGTTCCAGCTGTTGTGGCCAACTGGGGAGTGAACCAGCAGATGGAAGACCTCTCTCTCTCTCTCTCTCTCTATCTCTCTCTAACTCTGACTGTCAAATAAATAATCTAAAAAATATAAAAATACTTTTTTTTAGATAATATAATTTTATATGATACTGAAAAGCTTATTGGTTCCGCCAAATAAAGAATTCAACAACTAGAAAATGACAAGACCACGAAGCCAGCACGCCATCTTCCAGTTGTAGCATTCTGCTGCCAGTACTAGAATTTCATTCTTCTTTATAGCTGAATAGTATTCCGCGCGTGTGTGTGTGTGTGTGTGTGTGTGTGTGTTCCTTATCTATCTTTTTTATCTGTCAGTGGGTGATGGACACCTCGGTTGATTCCATATTTTGGCTCTTGTGAACAAAGCAGCTATAAACATGGTGGTGCAGGTGTCTCTGGTACAACGTGTTCCTGGCTTTTGGGTCTATACCCAGTTAGTGGGATTGCTGGACTGCATGGGGAAGTCCTGTTTCTAGCTTTCAAAGGAAATCTCCATACTGCTTTCCCCAGGGGCTGCCCTGATGTGCGTTCCCACCTGCAGTGTGTAAAAGTTTTGCCAGTTGGGGCTGGCGCCGTGGCTCACTTGGTTAATCCTCCACCTGCAGCGCCAGCATCCCATATGGGTGCCAGTTCAAGTCCTGGCTGCTCCTCCTCCAGTCCATCTCTCTTCTGTGGCCTGGGAAAGTAGTGGAGGATGGTCCAAGTGCTTGGGCCCTGCACCCGCATAGAAGACCAGGAAGAAGCCCCTGGCTCCTGGCTTCAGATCGGTGCAGCGCCGGCTAAAGTGGCCATTTGGGTGGTGAACCAACGGAAAGAAAACCTTTCTCTCTGTCTCTCTCTCTCACTGTCTAACTGTATCTGCCAAATAAAAAAAAAGTTTTGCCAGCATCTGCTGCTGTCTTTTGGAAAACAGCCGTTGTGACAGGGGTGTGGTGCTGTCTCACCATGGTTTTCATGAGAGAGGGAAGTAGGTGGGAAGAAGAAGATGTAACAGGGGGCAGGAATGGCAGGAGACCTCCCATAAGCTAGGCGGCAGATGAATGCAGCCCAGTTGTGGGGGAGGGGGCCGCTGGCCTTCAGGCATAGCTGGAACCAGGTGTTCAAGTGGTCCAAAGGGTCTGGATGTGCCCACGCCTGTCTGATAGTGCAAGCCACTGTTCACAACAGCTTCTGTCATTCAGTAACAAGACGTAATACAGAACACACTGTTGTGATAGCTGTAGCATTAACAATGGGCTTACGTTTATGATTGCCTGGAGATGCACTAGGTTTACATCCATTAAATTCTCACAGCCATTTGAGGTGAGGGCCTTTGACAGTGGATAGAGTTGAGTTATGGGTAGGTTGGAGAACAGCTGAAGTTGTCCAGCTAATACGTGGGAGAGGTACGGCTCACACACTGAGTCGGCTGACTCCAGCTGTGTTCTTACCCATGGTGCTCAGTCAACCCCCAGCACCCTCACGTCTCTCCTTAAAGGATTTCTTTTACAACATTTTTCTGGCTCCCTCTCAATTCTATCCCCTCCCTGGTGTGTTCCCCTTCCTTTCACCTCTTCTGTATCTCCCAGATCCAGGGGTGGGCACAACTTGTGTATGATTTCATGATGCTGTAGAGGTGGAGTCTGAACCTCTGACAGCAAGCCAGCATTGCATCCCTGCCATTTTCTCTTTTGTTGGGATTGAAAAAAGAACTTGCATATATGTTAAGGGATCTCTGTAACCCACAGACCACTTGGGGATGCAGAAAGCTCCATAGGCAATTCCAAGGCCTGGTTATAGTCATTCCTAAAGCAAATGCAAGGCTAAATACCATCCTTTCACCTAAGGAAAAGGCTGACTGTCGGATGGTAATATGTTTTTCTGAGTATTTGCTTTGTACCCTAAAGGACAATGGATCTCCTCAGTTTAGTCCCTGCCTGCAAGCCCTCAAGCTGGGCTAGCCCTCCCTGCCTCTGCAGGTGCTCTGGGCCACTCCTGCCTCCATTCTGATCGCATGTTTATCGTTCATGGTTTGTCTTTCCTCCTGCATAAAGAGCTACTTAAATAGAGTGGGTGTGGCCTTTAGATCTTCATCTCCTCAATCAAGAGGATGGAGCATGGGTTGCCAACGTCTGTTGAGTGAACAGAGAACATGTGGTCACTTTTACTCCCATGTCTCGAACTCCAGCCACAGCCGTTGTTAGACAAGATGCAACTCCTCAGATCTTGGGGCCTGGGCTCTAAGTGTCTAATACGTGACTGTTCAGTGTGATCATGAAGGCATATTTTGATTCCAAGAAAATTTGTCAACAAGGTCACTAAATTAAGCCTCTTTGGTGTTTAAATTCTGAGTAGATCATGCAATAAATAAATAAGCCCTTCTATGACACAAGAAAGGGCAGGTAGGTATCCTTGTTTTAGGGATGGATGTCTTAATACTTTGTTTGAATTCCTTTGCAACTAAATGGCATTTTAGAGTACTGTTCGAAATATTGTTAGAAATGGAATATTTAAGAATATTGTTGGAAATATTCTTAAATATTTATATTTAGCAATTTCGTTAGAAATGAAGTTTTCAAGAAAGAAATGTGTGTGTGTATAAAATGCAGTTCATGCATTAGGCATAGTGTTGGGTACAGGGACTGTATCAGGGAACTGGGAAGCAAAGACTTTGTAGTTATAAAATGACTCAACCAATGAAGGAACAGGTCTGCCCTGTGCTGTGACAAGTCTGGTGATGGGTGTAAATGTGGTGGTGCAGTTGGAGAGTGAGCTGGGGTATAAAGGGGTATGAGGCATGTATTGTCACACACAGTTAAGGTTGAAGGTTATAGAGGAAGGATGAGAAGAGCCAGATGTGTGAAGGGCTGAGGGAGGAGCCCTCCAGGCAGAGGGCACAGCAGGTACAAAGACCCCAATGGGAGGATGAGCTTGGTGGTGGGAACACAGAAGGGAGTCCAGTGCATGCTGGAGAGTCATGGGCTGGAGGAGGATGGAGGGGACGGTGAGGGGAAGTCACGGGCTGGAGGTGTATGGTGTGGACAGTGCGAGGAAGTCACAGGTTGGAGGAGGATGGAGGGGACAGTGAGTGGAAGTCACGGGCTGGAGCAGGATGTTGTGGGCAGTACACGGAAGTCACAGGTTGGTGGAGGATAGAGTGGACAGTGTAGGGAAGCCACAGGCTGGAGGAAGATGGAGGGGACAGTGTGGGGAAGTCACGGGGTGGAGGAGGATGGAGGGGACAGTGTAGGGAAGCCACTGGGTGGAGGGGGAAGGAGGGGACAGTGTGAGTAAGTCATGGGCTGGAGGAGGATGGAGGGGACAGTGCGGGGAAGTCATGGGCTGGAGGAAGATGGAGGGGACAGTGTGGGGAAGTCACGGGGTGGAGGAGGATGGAGGGGACAGTGTAGGGAAGCCACTGGGTGGAGGGGGAAGGAGGGGACAGTGTGAGTAAGTCATGGGCTGGAGGAGGATGGAGGGGACAGTGCGGGGAAGTCATGGGCTGGAGGAAGATGGAGGGGACAGTGTGGGGAAGTCACGGGGTGGAGGAGGATGGAGGGGACAGTGCGGGGAAGTCATGGGCTGGAGGAGGATGGAGGGGACAGTGTAGGGAAGTCATGGGCTGGAGGAAGATGGAGGGGACAGTGTAGGGAAGTCATGGGCTGGAGGAAGAAGGAGGGGACAGTGCGGGGAAGTCATGGGCTGGAGGAAGAAGGAGGGGACAGTGCGGGGAAGTCATGGGCTGGAGGAGGATGGAGGGGACAGTGTAGGGAAGTCACGGGGTGGAGGAGGATGGAGGGGACAGTGTAGGGAAGTCACAGGCTGGAGGAGGATGGAGGGGACAGTGTGAGTAAGTCATGGACTGGAGGAAGTTGGAGTGGACAGTGCAGGGAAGTCACGGGGTGGAGGAGGAGCCACTGCATCGCTTCCACGTGTGCATTTTGAGAAAACACTGAGGCTGTCCTTTCCGGCTCTTGCAGCACCCAGTGGGCCTTCTTTCACCATTGGGAAAGTGATATGGCTCCTCTGGGGCCTGGTGTTCAACAATTCTGTGCCCGTCCAGAATCTGAAAGGGACCATCAGCAAGATCATGGTATCTGCATGGGCCTTCTTTGCTGTCATATTCCTGGCCAGCTACACAGCCAACCTGGCTACTTTCATGGTCCAGGAGGAATTCGTGGACCAAGTGACCAGCCTCAGTGACAAAAAGGTAAGGTCATCTGTATGTCTCTTTGAGGCTGGGTCTTACCTGCTAGCCTGACAAGGAACTGACTCAGGCACCTATCATCCAGACTTAGCAACTCTAAAGCACAAAAGCAGAAGGTTTTTCTTAACTCAAGTTGGATTGTCCTTAAAAAACTTAGGAACAGACCTTAAGCGTCGTTCTCCTGGGTCTAAACGGCTCCGGATCTAGTTTGGAAGAACAGTTACCCCAGGTGTCCATGCCCCATATTCATATGATCGTGCTGAGGATGCCTGCTGAGAACCTAGCATTCAGGAGCACTGTAGAGCCCATGTTGAAAGTCATGCTTTCAAAGAGAGGGTGGTGTCGAGGAAGGCCCACGAGCCTGGGCAGGGAGAAACTCAGGGTAGGAGGAGCTCTGGACCGTGGGTACCTCCTAGCTCTGTGACCTCTGATCATGTATATATCTTATGTCCTTCTTGCCTTGAATTCATCATCTGCAACATGAAAAAAAAAAAAAAGGTATTGCTAAAGCTCCTAGCTTCTCTTCCCTGGCATTCAGATTGGCCTCATCACCCGAGATTTCTTCAAGGGACACAGAAGAGCAGAGTGGTTCTTCCTTTCCCACTGGTTCCTTCTGCTCAGACACAGCTCCTGCTCACCATCATGGTGCTGTGGTTCCCACATCAACAAGACAGGAGCAGTATCACCTGTCATCCCTATTCTCCAGAGAAAGAGAGAGAAGGCCTTCAGGGTGCCAGTGTCTGTGCAGCCCTGCGCAGAGAGGGTGGGAAAGGGTAAACTGGGTGCATCCTCCAGTTGGAGTCCTGGTTCAGGAAACAAATCCGACTTGGTAGGCTCAGCAGTGAGGCTGTGGCACTGCAGATGTTTGCTGTTCCGTGAATGTGAAGATAGTTTGCTTCTCTTTAGAAGGCTGCACTGTCATATCTTGTTGACATAAGTCTGCAGATACCCATTTGGCATTCATCAGCAAACTGCTGAATAGAAAATTAGTCCATGGAAGATCCTTTACAGCTGATGGATGACACACACTCTGGTTGAAAGAGGTACAAGGTCCCTGCTAAGCGAGAGGGTGACAGGTTGGGATCGGAGATGCAGTCACCTTCACAAAGGTGCTGTGTGAGCGCTGGGCCTCTCTCTGAGGGCTCCACCCACCAGGGTGCGCAGAGCCCTTTATTTCCTGACCTCTCCCACCTGCTCCCTCCCTCCCATTCACTGAAGTTCACTCTTTGTTCTGGGAGCTCCAAGCCAATTTCCACCTCAGTGCCCTTGCACTTCCCATGTCGTCTGCCTAGAATGGTCTCCCCCAAACCTCCTCGCGGCTGGATATCCTTGGAATTTCAGGTCTTGGGGAAAGCATCCACTCTTCAGAGGGGGCTTTTCCGGCAGGCTGAGTTTGAGCTCCTAAGAAACCTGTATTCTAGCAGGAAGAAATAAACAATACACCTGAAAACATCCAGAGAGGAGGAAACACAGGCAGGAGTGGGTGTTGTAAAGAAGATAAAATCCAGGAGAGTGAACTTGAAGGAAGAGGATCTCAGAGATGGGCTCTGGATAGAATTCTCTGGCACATAGGAGGAGCCCAGTCCATACTATTGGCCGCATGGATAACTGCATCCGTGCTGGACACCAGGCTCCGCCCACATGGATCTCCTGGGAGCTCTTTTCCCACCTGTGCATCAGTTTGGCTGATCAAGGCTCAGCCCAAGGATCCTCAGGATTGTTACCTCTGGGCACTGGGACTGTGAATTCTAGGAACTGGTTTTCCTAATCCTTGCAGTCCCCTGTAACCAGTGGCTGATCGGTGTGAGTGCGCAAAAGCTCAGCTGCTCCCTTGCTTCTAAGCAGGACGGGTTGCTCCCTAGAAATCCCCATGGAATCAGGCTGAGCCTGAGACATGGCTTTAATGAGACCCTCGGTGGTTGTCTTTAATTTCCTCCTCCCACCTGCTTGGTCGTTACTCCTAGAACCTTGAACTAATAAATCATGGTCAAGCCAATCTTTGGCTCAGGGTTGGCTTCTGGCAGCCCCCCACCCAAGCACATGACCTTGGGGAGGCTGCAGGCAAAGCATTACCATGTGGTCCAAAAAGGGGGCTTCCCGATCCCTCTCTGCCATGAACTAGCTGTGCTTTGCACCTTCCCTGTGCTTGCCTTGCCCTCTCTGTCAATCTTGGAAACATAGTTGTAGTGAGGAGGAAAAGAAACCATGTGTGAATGTGTCTGGTAGCTTAGAAAAATCCTCTACAGACACAAAGCACTGTTACGTGATTGTTGCATTATGGGATAAAATATGCAATTCCTAGATGTGATTGGAAATATGGTAGAAGCAGCAGGGAGCCGTGGCTTGGATGAGAGACCAGAAAGTACTAGGCATCACATTTTGCCTTTTGTTACTATTTTCAAAGGCAAAGGTGAAAAATCCTTTGCTTTGTAGTTTTGAGACTAAATATGATCACTTTTGGGAAGACTGATTAAAACCACTAATAAGTTGACCTTCTCTGACTTGGAAATACCAAAAAATACCAGATTCCCTGAGACACACTTCAGTTTTCATTTTCAGAGCGTTAGAAGCAAGCTGATAGCTCTTTTAATTAAATGTTTGATACAATTATAAAAACAGCAAAATTCTTGGAGTAAATAAGCTAAATGTCAATAGCAGATACACCCGGAAAATTTGCAAAATAAAAATATGTACTGAATCAATCTCTTTTAATACCATACACAGTGGTTGGTTTTGGTTTTGTGTTTCATTTTTTTTTTTTTGGACAGGCGGAGTGGATAGTGAGAGAGAGAGACAGGTCTTCCTTTTGCCGTTGGTTCACCCTCCAATGGCCGCCATGGCTGGCGCGCTGTGGCCCGCGCACCATGCTGATCCGAAGGCAGGAGCCAGGTGCTTCTCCTGGTCTCCCATGGGGTGCAGGGCCCAAGCACTTGGGCCATCCTCCACTGCACTCCCTGGCCACAGCAGAGAGCTGGCCTGGAAGAGGGGCAACAGGGACAGAATCCGGCGCCCCGACCGACCGGGACTAGAACCCAGTGTGCCGGCGCCGCTAGGTGGAGGATTAGCCTATTAAGCCGCAGCGCTGACTGGTTTTGTGTTTCAATTAGGAATACTTGTGAAACTACTTGGGTTTGCAATCCTGTATTTTCCTATTTATAAATACAAACAAAATCTAAATATTTTAAAGTTATTGAGTTTCAAAATACATGAGGATACTTCAAAAAGTTGATGAAGAAATGGAATTAAAAATAATTATTTTGGTGCAAGAATATTTTGTAATTCATGTATTCTTATACAAGTCATTCAAGACTTTAAGTCTCAACTCATTCATTTTTTTGTTGTGGGATTTAATGACCTTAATTCCTAAAACACTACTCATTAACTTCCAGCAGCACAGCATTCTACCAATTATTAGCAAGCCAAGTTCTATTAATTCTATCCATAGGGTCATTCTAAAACAATTGAAGGTCTAATGCTATGGGCAGAAATATTTTTTAAATATTTTAAAGAATGATCTTATGCAACTTTGCTATTTTTCTAAATTCTCGTGTTTCCATAAATCCTGCAGTTATCCTTGTTTTCTTTCTGTAATACAGTAGTTCAAAAACCACCACCACTCCCAATGCATGAGTCCTATAAAAGAAATTTCACTTTATTTGTACACTCTTAAGAGAAAAAGCAGATGAATATGTACTGAACCTAGAGAAATACTCTCGAATTTTAAAATGAATTGTGGAATAATTTCAAAGAAAAAAATGAAACAAATGACCTGTGACCCCCACCGCCCTGGAGCCTCACCTCGATGCCAACTTTTGACATCTTGAGCTCAGGAGCAGCCTGGAGCCACGCCCCCGTGCCAGCCTGCAGGCTTGGTCTTTGTCTTCTGATTGGTTGGCACCTGAAGGCAATCCATTCAGAACTGATATGCTGTGAAATACCTAGTTTATAAAAAGGGTGCTCAGTGCTGCTATTGCTCTTTTCTCTTCTTGCTGTCCAGCGTTGTGGTGTTCTTCCTCAGAACGTGTGTGGAGCTTGGGCGCTGGACTTGGAACAAGGAGGTGAGCGGCCACAAGCAAACTTGCAGGAAGCGCCGGCCTGCTGGTATTGAGAGGAGTGGCAGTAGACTTGCCAGGACCCTCAGGTTCATCCATCCTCACCTGGTAAGTCTTCTGGGACATTTTGTGCATATCCCGTGCCAGCACCAGCCACAGGCTAGGGACACCCGGGTCTTCAGGAGCCAGGGGAAGGAAGGGTAAACTGAGTGTTACGTTGTGTGTTATAAATGTGGTACTATATTTTGTTATACATTTTTACTGTATATTATAAATTGTATGTTATAAATATATTTTAAATTGTATATTGTAAAATTTATGTGCTTGGAGGTATCACATGCATTTCCAGGAGGCATGAGCCTACCTGGCTGAATTCTGGTGCCAGGATGGGTGGACCTCTAGGTGGGGCAGCTTCTGTTAGGTGAGCGATTAAGATGCCCAGCCACTGTGTTAATTTCCAGGTCTCTTGTGTTATTTTCTGGATTTATAGTTCTCCTTAGTAGATAGGAGCTGAGAAAATGGATCTGGTCATCCAGGGAGGAAGTTCCTTCTCGCAGGCTTTAATTCCTGTTTTTTCCTAATTTGCTAAGATAGTTTATTTCAATTTGCCTTGAAGCTTCTCCAACACAGCAGTTATAACATTGACTGGTAAGCCCAAATAGATGGTTGTATATGTGTCATTGCCCCACTGAATTCTAATTCTGCCTCTGTGATATCCAGTGATTCCCTAATTTCATGAAAAAGCTCCTGGAGAATATGCTCGGTTACATTGTCTTTAGGACTGTAGTTATATGGGAAGACATACCATGTCAAATGTGCATATCCCAGTCAAATCATTATATTAACTGGGAATATGGAGAATCTGCTTATCATCAGAAGCAACTAGATCTGAGATGGCTCCAAAATTTTAAGAAGTATATTTGTAGCAGTTATAAAACTATAAGGTTCTGAATACCTAAATACAGGTTCTTTTTACTTCTAAATTAGATTTTGAAATGCTGAAATTATTTTAATTATGATATTAATAATTTTACATCTGAGAGAGCAGGGACCATTGCCTTTGCACAGTGTGCACAATGGTGGCCATATAATTGGTTCTAAAACTTGGGTTGATGAAATGAAATCCTGTTTGTCCCTGTGTTTTAAAAAATGCAAAATTACCAAATCTGCAGATATTGTGCTTTGTACTTTGGTTCTTACAGTATGTGGGGAATTCAGTCTTCATTCCTTCTGGTCGGCAGTAACTAGTGTTAACATCCAAGGGTCATTCCTTGGGCTTCTTCTTATGAGATGCTGACCAGTGACTACTCAGAAACAACCCTTTGGTGGAAATCATCGTTGATGTTCCCATTTCCTCATTATCCTCTCTTGCTGTTCCTTTTAGTCCTGATTGTTCAAATCCAGAAGTTGAAATGACCCCATATTAAGTCTAGGTGTTCATTCTTACTGGTCTTTCCTTTCTTATCTCTGTACCGTGTTTCATGAGGGTCTTGGATTTTTCTCCCATCTTTAGCTAGACCTGCTTATATAGCCCATGGTTTTCTCCTTTTGGCTGTTTTCAAACTTAGTTCCTTGATTCCAATAATTCTCTTCCCTCACACACAACAAACCAAGAAAAATCTGTTCTTTCATTTTCTCATGTTTGCTATCCACAAATGTTCTCTGATAACAGCATCTCAAGGGTGGCTGGTCCCTACACCCTTCTCAAGGCCACATGAATATCTGATTCTTTTGCTTTTGCTTCCATGTCTCTCAATTCAGTCACCTTTTCCACACCTCTGCTCCTGTGATCACCATAAAACTTCGTCATCTCCCACAAGAATCCTAGGCTATCAGCTACTAGTGCACTCCCAGCTGCAGGTGAGTGGTTCTATCTGACCGCTGGTCCATCTTTGTTCCCTCTTTTCCTCTGGCCTGGGAATCCCTCTCTCCCTTTACCTTCTTTTAGGAGGATGTCCAAGCCTTCTGAGCCAACAGTGATTTTCTGCCTCCCTTGAAGTAAATCACCTTGTATGGCCCCCAAAGAGCTTGAAGCCTGCAGGCATGCAAACCTGCGTCTTATGTGGTTGCAGATAGTGAGCTGGGAAGTTGGATGTACTGCTATTTACTAGCCACACTTGTGGATCACTCTTTGAATCTCTGTTTCATTAACTCATAAAATTGAAATGATTTCTTCCTACTTTCTCAAGTGATTGTTGTAATAATCAAAAGAACTAAAGTTTGGGAAAAATACTTTGAAACCCTAGAATTTTTGAAATGCTTATTATTTTAAATTCTTTGACTATCCATTTCTGTCTTCCTTGCTATGAACAGTCATGTCCAACCAGAATACCAAGCTTTAAGCCTTGCATAGACAGGACAACTGCAAAGGGCTAAGGTCCTGAAGCCCCAGGATGTGAGAACAGCATCGGAGCATGGAAAGGCTGCATATATTATGGGTGTCCTGAAGAGCAATTTCCTTGCCTGTGCCAGGGTGTCTGGCTTATGTACAAGTCTGTATTTCGGTTCCTCAGTTGAGAACAGGTATCTTACCCAGGGTATAAAGCTCAGGCTCTCAGACGTGTGTGGTAGAGGATGATTCTCCTTAATTGTCCTGTGAGAACAACTTCACATGCATTTCTTGTTACCACCATAGCCACTGGCGAAAAGCAGACACGGGTTTAGTCTCTGCCTGCTCCACCTGCCGTCACTGGCCAGCGGTCAGTGTTATTCAGGGCTTTTCTGAAAATTATGTTCTCCTCACCTCTTTCTTGTGTTCCTTATTTCTTCCTCCCATTTTCCCCAATTTAGTATCAAAATAAACATACTGATATATTTATTAGTAACTTTAGACATATTCAGTGCTTTATGGGTCTGAAGCCAATTTCATAAGCTTATTATTAGTTGTTCCTCATTTCTGTAAAATTCATAACCCTAGACTTTAAATAGAAGGAACTGAATGAAGTGGAAGAAATTATCATTCCTGAATACTGAACCATATTCTGGCATACCTAAATAATCTATTGCTTTTTCATGTAGGCCAATCTCATCTCTTCAAGCAGAATGTTATTTCTTTCTGAATTAGTAGACTGTATTTCATTTTTATTGAAAGGCAGAGATAGACACACGGAGAGACAGAGATCTGCCATCTGCTGGTTCACTCTCCAAATCCCTGTAACAGGGCTGGGCAAGATCAAAGCCAGAAGCTCAGAACTCAGTCTAGGTTTGCCACATAAGTGGCAGGGATCCAAATACTTGAGTCATCATCTGCTGCCCACCACCCAGGGGATGCATTTTCGAAAAGCAGAATCAAATTTTTTTAGTTACCCTCATACCTTTAGTTACTCATACCCAAAGACTGCCTTGGAAAAAACCCAGTATCACTTGTGTGATATTTCTGTCCATCTGGGATAACCTGAGACTAAATGATGAAGAAGCATCCTACAAATCCAAAAGGAGGGGAAATTTACACTAAGTGTATCAAGAAAGACAGACTTAAGAACTCCCAAGATTAAAGGAGACTGAAGAAACAATTCGACACAACACATCATGGATTGCAAAATTCCTCCACTTTGGATTTTCTTTGGATGTAAAGGTTATTACTGAGACAGGTGATAACAACCTGAGTAAGACTGTGTATTAGATTTTGATACTAAATCAAAATTAATTTCTTGATAATTACACTATAATTATGTAAAAGAATTCCTTATTTTCCAGAAACACAGATATTTAAGCATCAGAATGTAACTTATAAGCAGTTCAGAAACAAATCTATATATTTATATTAGAAAAGAAGGGACAAAGCAAATGTAGCAAAATGAAAAAATTTGGGGAATGCTGTCCAGTACTCACCTGTGCTATTCCTACAATGTCATCTAAGTCTAAAATTTCCAAATAGAATATTTCTAAAAGATTTAAAAATGATATGAACAAATTAGAATGCACAAACTATAGCAATCTGTGAATACGGATACAAACTGTTTGTATGAATACTCATACAGGCCAGCGCCGCGGCTCACTAGGCTAATCCTCCGCCTTGTGGCGCCGGCACACCAGGTTCTAGTCCCAGTTGGGGCGCCGGATTCTGTCCCGGTTGTCCCTCTTCCAGGCCAGCTCTCTGCTGTGGCCAGGGAGTGCAGTGGAGGATGGCCCAAGTCCTTGGGCCCTGCACCCCATGGGAGACCAGGATAAGTACCTGGCTCCTGCCATTGGATCAGCGTGGTGCACAGGCCGCAGCGTGCTGGCCGCGGTGGCCATTGGAGGGTGAACCAACGGCAAAGGAAGACCTTTCTCTGCCTCTCTCTCTCACTGTCCACTCTGCCTGTCAAAAAAAAAATGAATACTCATACAAACAGATGACCAAATTGAAAGTTTGGTGAGGAACAAGGATATCTATAATGCCTCAAATAATCTTCCTCCAGAAAACTAGTTGCAAAATGAACAAGCAATATTATAGAGGAGAAAACCAGACACCACCTTTAATGAACAATGTTAACATCACCAGTAATACAACAAATAAAAACTGTAGGTCACATCATAGTGTGTAAAGAGAAAATAAATAAAAATAAAGAAAATCAAAAGAAAAAGAAAATAAATGAAAAACTGTGTGGACAGAACCTAGTCATAATGAAATGTCAAAAAAAAAAAAAAAAGCCAGTTGAGGCACATTCTATATGATTGGGACTTACTTTTCAAAACACTTAAGGTCCTGAAGATCAAAGAAAGACGGAGGAACTGTTCAAACCTAGAGATTCTAAGAAACACAATAGCTAAATGCTGTCCCTGGATTTGAATGGGACTTTTGGAAAGAGAAGACACTGTACACAGTTAGCAAAACTTGAAAGAGTCTGAGGATTACAGGATAGAATGTATTTATGTCACTTTTCCGATTTTGAAGTTTGTGTTGTAGTTACGTAGAATATTCTTAGTCATAGGACATACATATTAAAATAATCAGGTGATGTCATCACCAGTTTATTCTCAAATGGTTCATGGAGGATATTCTTGATATTAAAACTTGGGACTCTTCTTAAAATCTTGTTTCTATAAGTTAATCACAAATACATAATACACATAAAAACAGAAAAGGTGAAAACCTTTTGGTGAACATTATTTCTCTGTGAGGGATGATCTATTTAAATCAGTACTTAAAATTACGTGTTTGATATAATTATAAAAAATTATAAAACATCCAAATGTTGACAATGGCTACAGTACCAGTATACCAAAATGATACCCAGTTCTTCAGGTTTGTATTTAATATCAAAAATTAGGAAATATAAGTAATCCATACATTAACTGCACTAAATTATTGACAGCTTCATTGTTTGGGTGCTGTGTAACAGCTGGCTAGAAAACTCAAAAGTTACTTGCATATACCAAGGGAAAGATTAACATACTATGTGGGGCCTTTGGGTACAGCAGTTAAGATTTGCTTGGGACAGCTACTCCCATATCAGAGTACCTGAGTTTGAGTCCTAGATGCATTCCTGATTCCAATTTCCTGTTAGTGCACACATTTGGGAGGCCCCAAGTGATGACCCAAGTTGTTGGTTTCCTATGACCCTTGTGAGAGACCTGGACTGAGTTCCTGGCTGCAGTCTGCCAGGCCATGACCATTGTAGCCATGTGGGAGTGTACTGGTGGCACACACTCTCACCCTTTCCTATCTGTATGTATTCCAAATTATTAAAATAAAAAAAATGCTGTATATATTTTCCTCACAGATAAACAAAAATATTTTCCTTCAGTAAATGTTTTTATGCCATATTTTTTTTGACAGGTAGAGTAGACAGAGAGAGAGAGAGACAGAGAGAAAGGTCTTCCTTTGCTGTTGGTTCACCCTCCAATGGCCACTGCGACCAGCGCGCTGTGGCTGGTGCACCACGCTGATCCAATGGCAGGAGCCAGGTACTTCTCCTGGTCTCCCATAGGGTGCAGGGCCCATGTACTTGGGCCATCCTCCACTGCACTCCCTGGCCACAGCAGAGAGCTGGCCTGGAAGAGGGGCAACCGGGACAGAATCTGGCGCCCTGACCGGGACTAGAACCCGGTGTGCCGGCGCCGCAAGGTGGAGGATTAGCCTGTTGAGCCACGGCGCCGGCCTTTATGCCATATCTTAAATAGGAAACATTAAAGTGTTATATGAACAGGTCCCAAGAAAATTTTATTATCTCACAGAATATATAATATTTCTTTCAAGTGTGTAAACATTAATTCTTTCAAAACTCGATCTTGATTTAGATTTGACTTATTTGACATTAGATAAAGGTTCCGTAAGATCCAGATCCAAGTTCAGCAATATCTGGAAAGAAAAATAATCTTTATGTCAAAGACTTCATAGTTAAATAAGTCAGTATAAAAACTGAAAACTTTATCACTGTTGAGAAGAAAAAAATATGTGTAACTATAGTACAAAATTACTATTGTACATGTTTTTGCCCATAGTTGTACATGGAATTAGGTACTATTGTGAGTTAAGTTTCAGAGCTTCTAATTTTCTCATTCTTCACCCATTTATTGGGCAACCATTTGTTGAAAAGTGGAATTACATAATGAAGATGATATAGTCTATCACCCATAATACAATAACCCCCTGAAAAACCAGATGAACAGACAGTTTCCATATAGATTAGTGCACACAACAGGAATGGAGTAGAGTGCTGCTGGAACACACATAAGGAACATGTGTCTTGTTTTCATAATATTGCAGGATTTTTGAGGAGGTTACATAACACTGATAACTGCAGGACAAGTAAAAATTACACCAGAAGGAGGGAGAAGCAGAATAGTTGCAAAAAACTAGACATGAAGAAGATGGCTGTGGAATTATAAATAGTGTAGCCTGGCTTGACAAGAATTTGGCTGTTTTTATTTCATGCTCAGAAATGTGGAATTTCCTGGGAGGTGAAAGGTAGACCAGTGACAAGGGAAATGACTAGAGAAGTTAAATGCCATCTATCAAGTAACAGCTTGTGAACTGTTAGCTTGGCTAAGTATTTCTAGATGAGTTGGGATTTTTTTCTTACTGTGTCACTACTATACACCTGAAAACCTCATGGTGCCATAGTTTAGTCTTCTTTGAATAGTTTCAGTATGCAGGCTAACAATGTCAGATGGATGGCAGAAGTCAAGAAAGTGTAGAGACAGAAAAGTTGCCTAAGCTTTTTGAGATTTTTAAAAAACTATATAGCATGATGACTAAGGAATAAATATATTACTCATTCTCAATGTTTGTTTTTGCATATTTTATTAGATGCATGTAAGAAGTTCACACTAGCATCTATTAACCAAACATTGGATAGTGATGTCATTTCCTGCTTATAGTTTATTTCAGAGGCCAATTAAATTTAGATTTAACCTAAGTTTAATTGGCACATTTTGGCAACATACCTCATCTAGGTCTCTACTTATATCGGTTTGCATCTCCTCCAGCATCTGAAACAAGTTAAATATAAGTCATCATTGGAATGAGATATTATAAAATGTGACCTTTAAATAATACTATGACTAACTCGCAAATGCCTTAATAGTTACATAAATATAGATGGCGGAATAGCAACAGGGAGGCCTGTTCTAGGCTGCATAAACTGATCAGAAAAAGTGGAGAAGGTACACTCAGGGAAAACTTCAGTGGGAGATCCTGCGAAAGCAGTGGAAATGGCATGGACCTCAGTGAAGGGACAAACGTGCAGCAGTGACATGGAGCAGAGAGTTTGAAAACAACGAAGTACACAACAGCCCACTCTGGTGAGCAAGGTGAGTTCAGACTGCACTGGCTCACACCACTGTTGATACAGCTGGAGGGAGAGATTAGTAGATTGCACCATGATTGAGTCTGACCCGGAACCCTCAGGGGAGCTGGGCAGCTGCTCACCCAGAGAGAGGAAAAAGAAAGAAGTGTGTTTCCCTCTCTCCATTTCTTCCCCTTCCACTCCAGGGAAAATACTGATGTCATTTTGGACATAAACAGGAGAAGCTGCTCTAGCTCTTCCGTGCACACAAAACATCTTAATAGGGACTGTTGGCAGAGGCAACCACAGCAGTTTGAGTCAGTTAGAGGGGCCTGTCCCCGCCTTGTCATTGGGGAAACAACAGCTCTGCTGTACACTCTGGGTAGTGGGCAGAGAGGGGGAGCCATCCTCACCAAAGGGAAGTGCCCCATCCCCTCTTGTACCCACCCAGTACAATTGTGAAAGGAGTAGGGCTGCAGCCAGTGGGTACTGTGCATGCTTGTGATCTAGGAATTTTACCAGAGGGAAAAATCCACATTCCCCAATGACTTTGAGTCTGGCTGGGGGGATCAGACTCATTCTGCCCAGGTGAAACACATACAGGCAGTGTCTCTGGGAACCCCCCAGTTTTTCTATGGACCATACAGGCTAGGGGGGTGGAGTGGACTCTTGCACTGCTTGACTATGGGATCCCTGGGTGCTGAGGCTGTGAAAACACTGTGATTGGGGCCAGCACTGTGGTGCAGTGGGTTAAAGCCCTGGCCTGAAGTGCCAGCATCCCATGTGGGTACCGGTTCTAGTCCCGGCTGCTTCTCTTCTGATCCAGCTCTCTGCTGTGGCCTGGGAAATTAGTAGAAGATGGCCCAAGACCTTGGGCCTCTGCACCTGTGTGGAAGACCCAGAAAAAGCTCCTGGCTCCTGGCTCCAGATTGGTACAGCTCCGGCCATTGTGGCCATCTGGGGAGTGAACCAGTGGATGGAAGACCTCTCTCTAACTCTTTCAAATAAATAAAATAAGTTAAAAAAACCACTGTGACTATGTGAAAGGGGGCAGGATGTAATTGGGGTTCAGGGCAAGCTCTGTGCAAAGCCACACTATTGGAACAACTTGGTTGCTGGGGCAGCTCATTGCATCCATAGCTGTGCTCACAGGAAGGACTCCACAGATTATTCATGACAATGAGTGTTGAGCAAACTGTTGACTAACACCCAGTCATTGCTCAGCTTAAAGGAGGGGAGGTGAGGGAGTGATCACACTAACAGACGTGACCACCTCCCACCTTTGGCTAGTAAGAGGAGAGCTACCACCTTCAATCTGAGTGTTACCCTGGATACTTGCTGCACTCCAGAGCACTTACCAGGGTCCCCTGTACACACCCACCACATACCTCTCACATTCAGGGAAAGCACTGACATTCCACCAAGCCACAGAGGCACAGCTCAAAGATAAAAGCCATCAGAGGGGGAAAAAATTAACTCCTAAAAATAAATGCAGAAATTCAAGAAACAAGAATAAGAAAGACACCATGAACCCCAGAAAGGAACACAACATTTCAATATTAGAAAGTGAAGATGAAGAGATTGATGAAATGTCAGAAATGGAATTTTAAAAGTTAATTATAGGATTACTCAAAAGCAGTCAGAAGCAAATTCAGGAACTAGAGAAAACCATGCATGACATGAAAGAAAGTTTTTCTCATGAAATTGAGATTTTAAAGAGAAATAAAAAAATTAGAAATGAAGAATTCAATAGATCAAATAAAAATGTAGTGGAAAGCCTTAACAGCAGATTTGGGGAGGTAGCAAAAAGCAGATAGAAGATAAATCTTCAGAAATCCTGCAGTCAGACCAAAAACAACAACAACAAAACCTAAGAAGAAAATAGAAAATTTAAAAATCAGTGTTGGAGATTTATGGGATACTACCAAATAACAAAACATATGGGTCTTAGGAGTTCCTGAAGGTGTGGAAAGAGAGAATGGACTTGAAGGCCTACTTAGTGAAATAATTACAGAAAATCTCCCCAGTTTGGAGAAAGAAAGGGATGCCCAAGTAGAGGAAGCACATAGAACTCCTAACAGACATGACAAGAAAAGATTTTCATTATGATACATTGTAGTAAAACTCTCCACAGTAAAACAATAAAGCATTGTAGAATATGCAGGAGAGTAATGCCAGATTACTTTCAGAGTATTTTTAGACTGTAGTTGACTTCTCATTAGAAGCCATACAAGCTGGAAGGGAATGGTGAAATATAGTCCAAATCCTAAAAGAAAAAAAAAACTAGAATACTGTATCCTACTAAGCTATCCTTTATGAATGAAGGTGAAATAAAGTCCTTCCACAACAAACAGAAAGTGAAAGAATTTTTCACCACTCATCTAGGACTTGGGCCATCCTCCACTGCATTCCCAGGCCACAGCAGAGAGCTGGACAGGAAGAGCAGCAACCGGGACAGAATCCGGCACCCTGACGGGGACTAGCACTATGTAATATTAAGGATCAATTCAACAGGAAGATGTGACTGTGAGAAATATATACATACTTAAATACAAGGTGCCTGGCTGCCTGGCTATTTAAAATAAATGTTAATGGATCTAAAGTGAGGCAAAGACTGAAACACATAGTAACAGGGAACCAGCACCCCACTATTAGCAATGGACACATAAACCAGACAGAAAATCAGCAAAGAAACAACAGAGTTAATTGACGCTATAGACCAAATGGACCTAACAAATATTTACAGAACGTTTCACCTCACAGTGGCAGAATGTGCATTCTTCTCATCAGTGCATGGAGCATTCTCTAGAATACAGCATATGGTAGGCCATAAAGCAAGTGTCAACAAGTTCAAAAAAATTGAAATAATACCATGTGTCTTTTCTGGCCACAATGGAATAAAGCTGGAAATCAACAACTCAAGAATCTCTAGATCATATGCAAACACATGGAAACTGAGCAACATGTTCCTGAATGAATTGTGGGTCATAGAAGAAATCAAGAGAGAAATAAAAAAATTTCTGAAAGCAAATGAATATATCATATAAAAAATGGGATATAACAAAAGGAGTGTTAAGAGGGAAGGTTATAGCAATCGGTGCCTATGTGAAGAAATTGGAAAGGTACCAAATAAATGAGCTATCAGTGCATCTCAAGGACCTAAAAACCAAGCCAAACCCAAATTAGTAGGAGAAAAGAAATAATTAAAATTTGAGAGCAAATAAACAAAATTGAAACAAAAATACAAAAAATTGGTGAAATGAAGAACTGGTCTTTTTAAAAATAAAATTAATACACCATTGACACAATTAACCACGAAAAAAGAGGGAGAAGACCCAAATCAATAAAATTAGAGGTGAAAAAGAAATGTAACAACAAATCCCAATGAAATAAGAATCATCAGGAATTACTACAAAGAGCTGTATGCTAACAAATTAGGAAACCTAGTAGAAGTGGATAGATTCCTAGACACATACAATCTACCAAAATTGAGTCATGAAGACATAGTGTGTAATATGAGCCAGATGTACTTTGCATTACAGAGATCCTGAAAACACCATCAAAACTATAATTCAGTGTGCATCAATTAAATAGCAAAAATACAAATTGAAAACTGGTTGCCATGAGTCTTTATTTTTTGTTTGAACAAATGTTGAATTGTTTTGTAATTTCCCCCAGTCAAAAAATGGTCAAGGCATAAAGCAAATGTCTTAAACTGGGTCAGCTGGGTTTTACCAGCTTCACAATTGATATATTTTGTCACTGTGGGATCCATTTCTACATACCCAGAAGTGGACTTTTACCATGAATGAAATTGTGTGTTTGTACTTGATGTTTCCTGTTACACCTTTGTTGGAGCGGGGCACAATGTGCAGTTTTACGCAGGATTCTGAGATGGAAGAAGAGAACTGATTTTGTTTGATAGTAGTTGCAATTGATAGTTGCCACCTTAATCATTAGACACTCAAGTGATGGCAAGAAAGGTGAACTTCATTTTACAAATCCAAATATTTGCTTCATCTAATTACTTAAAATTGTACATTTTCCTGGCAGTAAACACATTTTGCAAATATTGTGGTAAAACTGCTTTATTAATAAGAAACAATTAAGGATATACTGTTACTGAAGAAAAGATCCAAGAATTATAACTTAACAAAACTTGATATTCTTTAGTGCTATAGGTTTAATATATAAAAATGTTTATCTTGAAATCCTTTAAACAGTAAACATCTGTCTGTTAAAAGTTTATATGTCAACCACTCACTAATGATTTCAGGGGACTAATGGTGCAACAAAACCATAAAAGGGTTTTTAACTACAGTACAGTGAAAATCAACTAGAAATGGAGCCAAATATTTCAAAGTATATCATGTTGTTAGGCAGAATTACTCAATTCCTAAAGCCCAATTTAAATGCAATTTTAAAAGAAACTTAAAATGTTTCAGTTTGGTTAAATTTATTGAGTGAAATACTAAAAATTTGATGGTATAAAATTTATTTTCTTTCTGTGTTAATTAATTATGACATTAATATACATAAGTCAATTAAATTCAGTGTTTTGCCAAATAAAAGCTAAAATGTCATAAAACTGTTAGACCCAAAGGAAAAAGAGAAAATCTAACCATGAACAAATAGTCCACCATGCTGTTATATGAAGACTGCTGTCTTGAAGTTGGTATCATTAAGTTTTCTTTTGGAGTAAGATTTCTATTCAACACTGAGCTATTATTAAAATTTCCAACACAAGTTGACTCTGGGATGGGTCTCACAGTAAGAGTGTTGAGTAAAGCTCTGTTCCGCTGCTTCTCCAGAAGAAGTTTGGTTCTGACCTCTGCTAATGTGACATTAGTCCTGTTAAGATTACAGAAGATAAACACTTAGTATTTTGATTTTCCCCCAAATAATTCCCAAATAACTTGCATTTGAAAGAAACTGGTCATAAGAGTAAATGGAATTTCCTATTACATAGTGTTTTAACAGTGAAAGTATATCAGGACATACCTATTGTACACAAAGGTTTTAAATTATTCAAAATAGTTCATATGTTTTGGGGGATCACTAATAAACAGATGATTCAAAAAAATTGAGAGGAAGAAAAATGGCTATCAGTGATGTATGGTTGACCTGATGCCTCTGGAATGGCTCTACTTACGAGATTCTTGGGAATGGCACTGGTATCACTTGCATTTAAAGGATAACTATGTGAGATGATGAACATGTTGATTTTCTCAACTAAAGTCACCTTATCGCTCTATAAAATATATCAAAACCATCATGTTGCAACCTTTAAATATATACAATTAAAAGGCCAGCCAGTTTTGAGATTTAAAGAACATCCTCAAAGACAGTTTCAAGAATTTGCTTTGAGAACCACTGCGCTTTTCACCTGTTTTTCCTATTTCCTGAGAAAAACTAAAGCAATGAGGGATAATTTGGAGCAATATTCTCTAGGGGAGAATCACATAGTTGAGTCAGTGATCAAAAACTCCACAGCACTTCCAAGGGCATTTAGGGCATAACATTGCTACCAGTGCATCAGAGGTGGACTTCGACTTTCTGTCTTCCACACACTTCCTCCAGCTGGCAAACATTTTAATTTGAAACACTCTGAATTACACTTCACTTCTCTAAGTTAAACTTTACCTATTCCACAAGTAGAGTGGAAAACCTAGAGGATCGTTTGTCCTCAAGGCACTTTCTAGTGATAACGTCAACAATAACAATGAAGGAAAAGTTAATTTACTGAGTGCCAGTAGTGCTAGGAGTTGTTGTAGTAGTTGACCCCGTGGGTTTTAGTAACAGTCTTCTCTAAAATAATTAGAATAATTAATATTTACATAAATTGTCCTAAAGTTATGTTAATTTCATCAAGTAACATTTCATGAAATTGTCTAGTTAACTCATTTCCTACTAATAACAGCAACATATCTTAATTAAAATTATACCTGATGCATATTAATGAACTTATTTTCTATGCCTATGATTTGACTTACTCATTTAGCTTATTATATAATGTTTTTCTAACTTGTACTTCTTCTAGATACAGTTGCTTATATTTTTCCAGTTCTCTTATCATAGAATCTTCTTGAACAGCTTTCATTTTGGAGAGTTCATACTCCAGTTCTTTAATTCTGAGTTCCTTTTGATTCATTATTGAAGCATTATTAGTCTCTTTTAACTGCTGAATTTTTTCTTTGGATGATGCTTGTTCCTAGAGAAAATTTAAAAAATAATTACCACATGAATAGTTATTGTATATTTGTTTCCTTTAGTTTTGGATCAGTGATTCAGAGAGCAATTTTTAAAAATGTGAAATAAGAAGTTTAAAATATGTACTTTGTTACCCATGAATGAACTATGAATTGTAATAAAAAGTAAATCATTCTTATGTTACTACTTATGTAATACAATAATCAAAAAAGTAGAGTCAATTTTAATTTTTAAATTCAAAATAATGTCATATAAAATTAAAGAATATAACAATTTCTATATCATATTTTTCGTGGATTTAATGAGAAATCACATCACACAGTATACAAACTTAATGAGCTGATCTATGTATTTTCCTGAATGAAAGTAACTCAGTCAATAAAGTTGTCTTGTCGACCTTTGATATTTTCCACTAAACAACAATGGTAGCAACAAAACTTGCTGAAAATTCAGTGATTTTTTTTATTTTTGACAGGCAGAGTGGACAGAGAGAGAGAGAGACAGAGAGAAAGGTCTTCCTCTACCATTGGTTCACCCTCTAATAGCCGCTGCGGCCAGCGCGCTGTGGCTGGCACACCACGCTGATCCGAAGCCGGGAGCCAGGTGCTTCTCCTGGTCTCCCATGGGGTGCAGGGCCCAAGTACTTGGGCCATCCTCCACTGCACTCCCTGGCCACAGCAGAGAGCTGGCCTGGAAGAGGGGCAACCAGGAGAGAATCCAGCTCCCTGACTGGGACTAGAACCCGGTGGGCCGGCACCGCAAGGCGGAGGATTAGCCTATTGAGCCGCAGCACTGGCTTTCAGTGATATTGAGAAATAACTGATTTCTTTTATATATAGTCATTATCAGTTTGTAAGAGAAGGTGACATTTCTTCCATGATGTGCTGTCACCTGAATATGAACTGACTGTGGTTTCTGCTGGACAGAATATGAAACACTATTGGGTGACCTTCCTTAGGATAGAAGATGAGATGTGATACAGCTTCCACCTGAGTTTTTCTACTGAAGCTCACCCTTCTAATCCAGCCCTGGTGTTGTGAGGAAACCCCAGCCAAAGGCAAATCATCACATAGGTGTTCCGACTGCCCAGTGAATGACCTTATCAAACCCAAGCTTCAACTGCTACACACATTAGTAAATAAACCTGTGATGATTCTGTTCACCAGCTTCATCTCAGTTGATGCTAAGTGCATAATAAATGAGTGGTCCTTTGACTCTTGACTAAATTGCAGTCTGTAAACAAAATAAATGTTGCATTGAAACTGAATTACTTTTTGGAGGGAGAGAGAGTCAAAGAAAGAAGAGGAGTGCGGGGTGAATGTGGAGGGAGAGGCTGAACCCAGCAACAAGGAACTAAATCCAGGTCTCCCATATGGGTCGCAGGGATCCAGTAACTTGAGCCACCACCTCTGCCTCCCAGGATCTACAGTGGAAGGAAGCTAGAATTTGGTGCCAGAGCCAAGGATCAAACCAAGGCATTCTGATATGGGACATGGGCCTCTTAACTGCCAGGTCATACACCTGTCCTAGAAATACTGACTGGTGAGATGTTTTGCTACACAGTAATAGAAAACTGATACTAAATATGGAGGGGTACAATTATTTTTTTAAAAAAAGAATCCAAGATCTAAAGCACATACTATGCCTTCAGACAAGAGGGAGGTAGAAGTTGAAAAGATAGAAGAGTAAGAATGAAAAACAAAAGTACTTCAAAGAGATGTGAGTGGAAGCTTAATGGCATTTAAAGAGATTGACAGGAAGAGCTTCAGGCCAGTGAAGAAAATGACACTAAAACCTAGAGGCAAGAGACTTCTTGCTACATAGTGGTGGAAACTAAAATTGATGTGAGACATAAGCTGAAGGAAGACTATTAAATGTAAAGAAACCAGAATTTACTGCATTAAAATATCTGTGACTCATTTACAAAATCAGTTACCCTCAGACTTTGAAAAATATTTTAAAGAAAATTATTTTTTAATTATAAAGACTCTTTAAAATATCATTTTTTATGAGTCATGGGCAATATGTTCACTAAAATCCTGATGCTAAGCATGTTTCTAAAATAATGACCTTTTAAAATAGCTCACATTGTTTTAGATTTTTATGATCATTTCTGGACCTTAAATTGCCAGCATTTATTTGTTAAAATAGTGATTTTGAGGCAGGTATTTTGCACAGCAGTTAACTTGCTGCTTGGAATGTCCAAATCCCATATCACCATCTGACTTCTGGCTACTGTAATCATCTAGCTTCCTTCTAAAGTGTAACCAGGGAGGCATCAGCTGTGAATTATGGGCTTGGGCCCCTGTCAACCATATTGGTGACTCAGGTTGAGTTCTGGGACCCTGGCCTTGGCCTGGCCCAGCCTGGGCAATTGTGGGATTTTTTAAAAAAATATATTTATTTATTTAAAAATGAGAGTTACACAGAGAAAGGAGAGGCAGAGAGGGAGGTCTTCCATCCGTTGGTTCACTGCCCAACTGGCTGCAACGGCCAGAGCTGCACCAATACGAAGCCAGGAGCCTGGAGCTTCCTTCAGGTCTCCTATGTGGGTGCCTGGGCCCAAGGATCTGGGCCATCTTCTGCTTTCCTAGGCCATAGCAGAGAGCTGGATCAGAAGAGGAGCAGCCAGGACTAGAACCGGCGCTTCAGGCCAGGGCGTTAACCCTCTGCGCCACAGCGCCGGCCCCAGTTGTGGGATTTTGAGGTGTGACCCAGTGGATGGAAAATCTTGCTCTCTTGCTCTCTCTCTCTCCCCTTCCCTCCAAATCTACCTTTCAAATGAAAGTGAAAAATAGAAGGTTTTGCACATAAAATATTAAGTGTTAATGAATTACTTTTTAAATAACGTCTTTAATTTACCTTTTTGATTCAAAAGATGCCCTAAAAACTCATTAAAAAGAAATACTGCATGGTCTCCCTTATATGTGGGAGCTAAAGTGAAAAACAAAAACAACAAAGAAATGCCTGTATCAGTATTGCTGTAAATATGCTTTTTACAACTTTGTTTTATATCTTTTTCAAACAAATTGTTAAGAATGGTATACTACTATAATTTTAAATGATCTGTGATTATTTTGAAATTCACCATGTTAGTGGAATTGACATATTTTAATTTGATGGCAGTTTATAGTCTTTGTCTATATTTCTGTTGAACCGTGATATTTTTACTTTTTACTCGTTGAACTCTAGTGGAGCATTAAATCTTTAACTGTAATGTAAACACAAAATTTTATCTCAGAAATTGAAAAATGAAAAATTATATATTTGAGTTTCAAAATATTGTAGGCTTTATTCATATGGAGAGTTTTTTGAAAATTCACATCTGGTATATATTTTTTTAAATTTATTTTAAATTTAATTATTTGAAAGGCAGAGTTACAGAGAGAGAGGGGTAGAGGCAGAAGCTGAGTTCTTCCATTTGCTTGTTCATTCCCCAAATGGCCACAATGGCTGGAGCTGGGCTGATCTGTAGACAGGAGCCAGGAGATTCTTCCAGGTCTCCCACGTGGGTGTAGGGGTCCAAGGACCTGGGCCATCTTCCACTGTATTCCCAAGCACATTAGCAGGGAGCTGTATCAGAAGTGGAACAGCTGGGACTTGAACCGGCATGCATATAGGATGCCAGCACTCTAGGTGGCAGCTTTACCCAGTATGCCACAATGCCATCCCCTATTAAATTTTTGATCCTTACTTATCTTTAGTTTTTCTTTTTCCATTTCTCTTTAGGTATAAAGCTTAAGTCTGCTCTATAAGACAAAAAAATAACTTGCTTGATTCTAATTACTTTTACACTGTTTCTCTCCTTTTGTTGGACTCTCATAGCCTTTAATGCATGGTCTCATCCACAGATCTCTTTTAAAAATCAATTATTGCTAAAATCGGGTTTTCAATCCTACAGTTGCAGTCACAACTCTTAAGGGTCACCCGGTGCTCTTTCAGTCCTCGTTCTACCATCCTTCTCAGTGACAATGGCTAATAGCAAGCACATCCCACCCTCTGCTTCCCTAATCCCACTTCACTTCTTTTTGTTTTTAAAGATTTATTTATTTGGGACCTGGCACCACAGCTCACTTTGTTAGTACTCCATCTGTAGAGCCGGCATCCCATATGGGCACTGGGTTCTAGTCCCGGCTGCTCCTCTTCCAGTCCAGCTCTCTGCTGTGGCCCGGGAGGGCAGTGGAGGATGGCCCAAGTGCTTGGGTGCCTGCACCCATGTGGGAGACCAGGAAAAAGCACCTGGCTCCTGGCTTCAGCTTGGCACAGCGCCGGCCATAGCAGCCATTTGGGGGGTGAACCAATGGAAGGAAGACCTTTCTCTCTGTCTCTCTCTCTCACTGTCTGTAACTCTACCTGTCAAATAAATAAATAAATAAATAAAATCTTAAAAAAAGATTTATTTATTTGGAAGTCTGAGTTACACACAGAGAGAAGGAGAGGCAGAGAGAGAGAGAGAAAGAGAAAGATTGAGAGATTTTCCATCCATTGGTTCACTCCTCAGTTGGCTGCAATGGCCGGAGATGTGCTGATCCGAAGCCAGGAGCCAGGAGCTTCTTCCAGGTCTCCCACATGGGAACAGGGGCCCAAGCACTTGGGCCATCTTCTGTTGCTTTCCCAGGCCATAGCAGAGAGCAGGATCTGAAGTGGAGCAGCTGAGACTCAAAATGGCACCCATATGGCTTCATAGTGGCTTCACCCACTATGCCACAGCGCCACTGCCCCCCCCCTTCACTGCTAAAGGGAGAAACCCCTGAATTTTAGTTCCTTCACTTTCTGTTACTCTTTAAAAATTCTCTCAAGGTTCCTCAAATATCAAGGCTTCAACTTACATTGCTTAATCTGTATTTCTAGACCAAGACCTCTTCCCTGGGGTTAGTTATACTTTGGTCTCTTCATTCTAGTTCACTTCTCAACGCCACACTCAGTTTTCTCCACGTGGATTACTTCTGTAGATACCTGGTATTGTACTCTTCTGTTGATTTTGTAAGAGTTAACTTTCTAGTGTTGTTTTCATTAACATTACATTTTGTCTTTTACTATTTTAGGTTAGATTTCTCGATATGAGCATAACAAATTTTTTTTCAAAACCTAAAATAATGTGATACTTTTTTATTCTATATTAGTACAAACTAATTGTGAGCTGAGTAGAAAACTGGGTTAATGTCAGGATTTCCTTGGAAATGGTAGAGACTAAACCTATAGCAATGGTCTCATATTGTAATACTGGCATCAGTACAAAAAAGTAATACATACAATTTATCCATGAGTACTAGCAGATTCTTTTTTTATAAAAATAGAAAATAAATGTAGATGGTATTTACTGAAAGAATGCCACCACCACCACCACCACTTTCAACTAGATGTGGTTTTAAAATGCGTTATACTTTCAATTATCCTTGCAACTGTATGAATACATATACATATGAAAACACAGATTTCAAAATGACTAAAAATACCTCATCATTCATTTTCATTTTAGTCATTTCTGTCCCTTTTTGCTTGCCAAGGTGAATGATCAGAATTTCGTCTTTGAATACTATGGCCTTCTCTTTTGCAGAAAGATGTCTCTGGGTGTTGTTTTGCTCTTCTTCAACCTAGAGACACATTTCATTAACTTTTTGGTCTTAAAACATTTGAAAAGAAAAAAATCATAAAGAGTAAGAGCAGAACCTAAGAAAAAATAAATGTTACAAGAAAGCAACCTACTAAAGACCTTCTTGTCACTTGAATTATTCAAAATTTTTAGAAATATTTATGTATTTATAAGTCAGAATACAGGGTGGAAGACACACACACACACACACACACACACAGATTTTTATCTGGTTCACTTCCCAAACGGCTGCAATGTCTAGGCCTGAGTAGGCTGAAGCCAGGAGCTAAGAGATTGTTCCAGGTCTCCCACATAGGTATAAGGGCCCAAGCACTTGGGCCATCTTTACTGCTTTCCCAGGCACATTAGAAAGGAGCTGCATCAGAAGTGGATCAGCTGGGACTCAAACCAGTGCCCATATGGGATGTCAGCACTGCAGACGGCAGCTTAACCTGCTGTCCCACAGCACCTGCCCCAATTATTTAAATTTTAATAGGAGAAATGACAGCCAAATTCTTCAAAGCAAAAATACTTCTTAAGTACAGTCACATGTTATCATAAATGAAGTTATTTATAAAAAGTTTTGCTAGCTTCACTATAATTTAAAAGCCATTTATAAACTATTTATTTAACATAAAATGTCTACATTAACACGTGAGTGACTAATCTCAATTCACCTTTTATTGCTTCATGCAGGAAGCATGTACTGAGTCTCACTAGGTGCCATGATTTACAATCAATAATTTTAGCAGTAAATATAATTCATCTTTAGGATAACAATTTGTGTTATGTTAAATCTAATTATATCTTTTTTAAAAAAGATGTATTTATTTATTTGAAAGGCAGAGCATACAGAGAGAGAGGAAGAGACAGAAAGAGACCTTGATCTGCTGGTTCACTTTTCAAATGACTGCAACAACCAGGTCTATACCAGACCAAAGCCAGGAACCCGGAATCGGGTCTCGAATCATAGGGATGACAGGGACCCTAGTACTTGGGCCCTCTTCTGCTGCTTTTGCAAGTGTATTAGCTGGGAGCTAGATCAAAAGTGGAATAATGGCCAGCACCGCGGCTCAATAGGCTAATCCTCTGCCTATCGGTGCCGGCACACCAGGTTCTAGTCCTGGTCGGGGTGCCGGATTCTGTCCCGGTTGCCCCTCTTCCAGGCCAGCTCTCTGCTATGGCCAGGGAGTGAAGTGGAGGATGGCCCAAGTCCTTGGGCCCTGCACCCTTGGGAGACCAGGAGAAGCTCCTGGCTCCTGCTTTTGGATCAGCGTGGTGTGCTGACCGCAGCGCACTGGCTGCGGTGGCCATTGAGGGTGAACCAACGGCAAAAGGAAGCCCTTTCTCTCTGTCTCTCTCTCACTGTCCACTCTGCCTATAAAAAAAAGTGGAATAATGAGGATGGGGACCAACACTCTGTGTGGGAATGCCAGCATGTGCAAGCAGCAGCTTAACCTGCTACACCACAACACTGACATTAAAATTTATATAGATATAGATATAGATATAAATATAGATATAGATGTAATGATATTTATAAAGAATAAAGCAAAGATTAATTTACCTGATTAAAATTATTTCTTACAGCCTCCAATTCCATTTTTAGTGTTCTTAGGGTCAGTTCAAGTTGTTTCACTGTCACTTCCTTACTACATTGTTCTTCTTTCCTTCTTAACTGCTCCCTAAATTTTTAGACAATGCATGAGCATTACCTGTTCTATTTTACTTGTTTTAAGGTAAATATACAGTTACATATACTTATCTTAAAATTCAGTTTGTTAGAAACTAAAAAAATCATTTTGTTATCATGATCTTAGTATGTTTATTATAATGAAATGTCTATGTTCTCAAGTATCTTTACTTTTTAATTTTCCTGTTACTAATTTATCATTTTAATCTCTTCCAAAGGCAGATATACTTGAAAGGTAGTGGTGAAAGAATGTTCTGATAATTGATAATCAGTTTATCAAAAGGAATTTTGAAGTAAAGTTACAAGTCAAAAATTACCTTTTCTTCTTTTGATTTAGGAAAGATGATTTAAATTAATGAATCTTTAATGATTGCTATTTATAGTTGTATGTAGTGGTTAGAAAAGATTAATCTTCAGGAAATACATGTATCTCTAAAAACGATTTAGTTTGAGACACTACCTTCATATTTCTTTCACAAAACTTTGATTACTGTTATCCAAGAGTAGGCTCTTGGATACTCCATACATTTTATGTATCCTTCTTTTCAATATGTTTAGCTCATACTGTTGACTACAGTGTAACCTTGTAGGAAATTTAAAAATTCATTTTGGAACAAGAAAGGAGTTAAGAGTCCAAGCTAGATATCAGACCCAGGTACTCTGATAGGGGATGACATCTCAATGGACATCTTGTCTGCTGCGCTTAGGCTTGCCCCTGAAGGCAATTGTTAAATGGAAAGCATCTTGTTAAGTTTTCCCTGTAGCCAGGGTAAGAAATAATCACCCACAACCAGTTTTAAATCTCTTCAGTTAATTAATGACTACTAGCCTCACTCTCCAACTAATCAAGTCAAATTTTCATTTCTGAAAGATGGCCTGTCAGAGATAAGCCCTGTCCATAAATGTATCACAAAGGTCAACCAATCTCGCAGCTGGGGGCTGTAGGAGACACCAGGTTTAGAGAGTGAGGTAAGGGCAGACTGTGGCATCCCATGCCACTGGGGATATAGTGCATGAGGGAGAACCTAGCCAAAGACCAATATCACTGATGAACAAGATAAAAAAATTCTCAGCAAAATACTATCATGGATGTGCTAACAAATGTGTGCAAATTAGGCCATGTTTTCTTTTTTTTTTTTTGACAGGCAGAGTGGACAGTGAGAGAGAGAGACAGAGAGAAAGGTCTTCCTTTGCCGTTGGTTCACCCTCCAATGGCCGCCGCGGCCAGCGCGCTGCGGCCGGCGCACCACGCTGATCCGATGGCAGGAGCCAGGAGCCAGGTGCTTTTCCTGGTCTCCCATGGGGTGCAGGGCCCAAGCACCTGGGCCATGGCCATGTTTTCAAGTAGGGCCTAGTCCTAGAGTGAATCTATTGCAAGGTTAAAGGGATAACATATACCAAATTTTGATACATACTACTAAGTTACCCTTCAAAAGGACTTCCCAATTTTATTTACCAACACTCTATGAAAATGTTTTTGTCCTCATATTTGCTTGGTTATTGTCTTAAAAATAAAACATGCATCAATATGATTAGGAAGATAATATTTAAATATTGATTTGTATTTTTATTATAAGGCAAGACTGAAGATCCTTAGTACATGTGCAGAATTTTATATTCATTAATATTAGCCCAAATCAGAATTAGTTTGATAGGACAATAACAGTCATCTGTAAAATATTGCTGCAGGCTCACCCATTATGTTCTTCATCCTCTTTAGTAGGAAATTGCTGATGATCAGTTTTTCCACTCTCTCTCTGTTGAGTTAATGTACCACCACCACCATGATCATCATCATATGGGAGGTTTTCTGATGTTCCCATTTCATTACTTTTGTGTGTCTTTCTTTCTTGTTCAAACTTTAATGAAAAGTTTCATATTAAGTTACTCCTTGTGCAATAAAAAACATTTTTATGGATGTTACTATTTGATTATTAGTTTTATCATGATTTCAGTCAATGAAATATTTTTGGTTTACTTAGTTTCATCAATACATGTCATTGAAGTTATTGTAAATTTTTGGTTTCAATTATTCTTGAATTTTCAAAACTTCCAAATGGGGCCCCTCTTTATTTTACTGTTTTATTCCCACCCTGTCTAGTTCTACTATATTATAATATCCAATAATGACAGTGGCTAAAATATTATATAATACTTTGCTTTTTTCTGCTTAAAATATAACAAGTTAGAAAGTTGTCTGTACTTATCAAAGGTCCCATGCTAGAAATTGTGACTCTTAGTAAGCAACTTGGGGCCGGTGCTGTGGCTCACTAGGCTAATCCTCCGCCTGCGGCACTAGTCCCTGGTCGGGGTGCCGGATTCTGTCCTGGTTGCCCCTCTTCCAGTCCAGCTCTCTGCTGTGGCCCGGGAGTACAGTAGAGGATGGTCCTGGTCCTTGGGCCCTGCACCCGCATGGGAGACCAGGAGGAAGCACCTGGCTCCTGGCTTCAGATCGGCGCGGTGCGCCGGCCGCAAAGCACCAGCAATAGTGGCCACTTGGGGTGTGAACCAACAGAAAAAGGAAGACCTTTCTCTCTCTCTCTTTCTCTCTGTCTAACTCTGCCTGTCAGAAAAAAAAAGCAACTGGGTGATTTTTTACCGAATTCTCTCCCTGAATGTAGATGCTCAAGCCAGTTACATTCCAAGCAGATGAAATTTTTAACTTTGACATTAAAGTCTAGGAATAAAAAACCGCAAATTTTGAACCATTGGCAATGATTATTGTTTCAGCCAACTCAATGGTCAACAACATAATGTACAAAAATTAATGACTTAATCATATGAGTCAATATTTTACATTACTTTTTGTATCATGGAAGAAGTATATATGAATGGAAAAGCAAATAATATTTAGGTTTTTTTCTCAATTCCAAAGTTCTGAATTCCAAATTCTTGTTTTTAACTAAATATTTTATATTGACTATTAAATTATGATCTATTAATTTTAAAATCTGGTATCAAATATATTTTCACTTGGTGTATGCTATGACAATAATATACTAAAGCAAATTAAAAATATCAAACTGTAAATTTAAGTTTATACAGACCTGTGGCTGGATATTTTGATTTCCTTTAAGAATTTCTTGCTTTTCCCAGACTGTAATTTGTAAGTCATTGTGTGGTAGAGAAAAGCTATTTTTTTCTAATTCAGGTTCTATGTGTTTATCATTGTTTTTACTCCAATTGTCACATAGTAGCTTCTTGATCATTTGCCTATTTGGCTTTGTTTTCTTGTAAGAGTCTGTAATAGCAGAAAAAATTGTTCCTGTATAGTGACTTTTATTGTAATCATATGCTGTGTTTCCTTGGTGTAAGTAAGCTCCAAATATAAAAAGGCTTTCTAGACCACCATAGCAAGGAATGTGTCCTAAGCCTAATACATTTAATAGATTGTAATTTGCATTGTTAAGACTAGTTTCCTTGACAGATCTGTATAATTACTTAAATGTGCCATGTGGAACAGTTAGATAAAAGCTGTAATCTTTATAAAATAAAGATATAAAATAACCACAATATAGAATCAATCCAGGTGTTACATTGACAGATGAACAGATGAATGGATCAAGAAAACATGGTTACATATACACAGTGGAATATTGTTCAGTCATAATAAAGCATAGAATCCTGTCATTTGCAGCAATATGGATGAATCTGGAGGACACTATATTAAGTGAAATAGATCAGGCTAAGAAAGATAAAAACTGTGTGTTCTCACTTGTGAAAGCTGAAAAAATGGATCTCATAGAAATACAAAGTAAAACAGTGATTATGAGAGGCTGGAAAGAGGAGGGGGGAGCAAATGGAGAGAGGTTGGTAAATGGGTTCAGGAGTACAGTTGGATACAGTAATAGCTTCCAATGTTCTAGAGCAGAGTAGGATAACCGTCTTTGTATGAAGAGTCTTTACTTATTTTAATCAGCTTTTATTGTGTGCCAGATAAGTGTTAGGCACTGGGGTTTAAAGGATGTAAATTAAGATGACATAGATGGCTCTTTTATGGACGATTCCTGATCTGAGATTTAAAGACTGAGATTAGTTTAAAATATGTAGAGGACAGAAAAAAGTGACATTATCAAGAGAGGGAAAAACATGAAACGGGTGTAGTTGTCTGAAAAATAGGGGCTGGTGAAGCGGGCATCACCAAGAAGTTCAGTGATGCCAGAGAGAAGGGCAGACATAGGGCTGGTGCTGTGGTGTAGCAGGTAAAGCTGCAACCTGCAGTGCCGGCATCTCATGAGGGCACCAGTTTGAGTCTTGGCTGCTCTACTTCTGATCCAGCTCTCTTCTATGGCCTGGGAAATCAGTACAAGATGGCCCCAACTCTTTGAGCCCTTGAACCCACTTGGGAGAACTGGAAAAGCCCCTGGATCCTGGCTTCAGATTGGCACAGCCCTGGCCATTGAGGCCATTTGGAGAGTAAACCAGCAGATGGAAGATCCCTCCTCCCTCCCTCTCTCTCTATTTCTCTCCATCTGCCTCTCTGCAACTCTGCCTTTCAAATAAATGAATAGTAAATGTTCACCATTGTTACTCAGTGGAAGTTTTAGAGCCATTAAGCATGAGAAAGTACTCAAAGGGATACAGCTGGGAAAGGAGGAAGTGAAATTATCCTTATTTGCAGATGACATGGTCCTGTATATAGGGAAAATGAAAGTCTCCACTAAAAGACTATTGGAATTCATAAAAAAGTTTTTTAAAGTTGCAGGACCAAAAATCAGCAGCCTTTGTAAACACAGAGAATGTCATGGCTGAGAAAGAGCTATTAAGATTAGTATTCACAATAACTACAAAAAATTTAATACCTTGTAATAAATTTAACTAAGGATGTGAAAGATATCTACAATGAAAAACATTATAAAACATTTATAAAAACATTGTAAAACATTAAAGAAAGAAGATAAAAAATGGAAAAAAATCATGCATGCTTGTGGATTAGGAGAATATCACCAAATTGTCCAAGTACCAACAGCAATTAAGAGACTCAAAGAGATGCCAATCAAAATAACAACATTTTTCTCAGATCTAGAATAGGGATGTTAAGATTGCCATGGAAGCTATGAGACCCTGAATAGCTACAATAATCTTAAACAGAAACAAAGTTGGAGGCACAACCATACCAGATTTCAAGACATACTAAAGGGCAGTTATAATCAAAGCAGCCAGGTACTGGCAAAAAAATAGACATATAGACCAGTGGAACAGAATAGACACTCCAGAAATTAATACATGCATCTATAACTAATTAATCTTTGACAGTTAGCTAAAATCACTCATTGGAGAAAAGAAAAGATGCTTGGAAAATTGGATCTACATGTGCAGAAGAAAGAAAAAAGACCCCTACTTTATGCTTTCTACAATAATAAATTCAAAATGAATCAAGGATGTAAATCTAGGGCATGATGCTATCAGTTTACTAAAGAAAAATGTCAGGGTACCTCTGCAAGACATTGGCATAGGAAAAGACTTCCTGATAGGGGCTGACGGTGTGGCGTGGTAGGTAGAGCTGATGTCTGCGGTGCCAGCATCCCCTATGGGTGCTGGTTCAAGACTTGGTTACTCCACTTCCAATCCTGCTCTCTGCTATGGCCTGGGAAAGCAGTGGAGGAGGTCCTTGGGCACCTGCTCACACATGGGGGACCTGGAAGAAGCTCCTGAATTGCAGTCATTTGGGGAGTGAATCAGTGGATGGAAGATCTCTCTCTCTCTCTCTCTCTGCCTCTTTCTAACTCTGCCTTTCCAATAATAAAATTAATTAAATAATAAATAGCTCAAGAAAACCAACAGCAACAAAATAAACAATCCAATTAAGAAATGGGCATCAGGGCTGTCACTGTGGTGTAGCAGGAGAAGCCACTCCCTGTAGTGCCAGCATCCCATATGTCTGCCAGTTTGAGTTCTGGCTGCTTCACTTCTGATCCAATTCTCTGCTATGGCCTGGGAAAGCAGTAGGAGGCCTAAGTCCTTGGGCCACTGTACCCACGTGGGAAGACCCAGAGGAGGCTTCTGGCTCCTGGCTGCAGATCTGTGCAGCTCTGGCTGTTGCAGCTAATTGAGGAGTGAACCAGTGGATGGAAGATCTCTCTCTGCCTCTCTTTCTCTCTCTGTGTAACTCTGACTTTCGAATAAATAAATAAAATCTTAAAAAAAATGGGCAAAGGTCTTGAACAGGCATTTTTCAAAAGATCAAATTCAAATGTCAAATAGATACATGAAAAAATACTCAGGATCACTAGTCATCAGGGAAATATAAATCAAAACCACAATGAGGTTTCACCTCAAACCTCTTTAGAATGTCTCTTATACAGAAATCAACAAATATCAAATATAGAAATGATGTGGGGAAAAAGTTACCCTAATCCACTGTTGGTGGGAATGTAAACTGCTACAACCACTGTGGAAGACAGTATGGAGATACCTCAAAAATCTGAACTTAGACCCACTGAATGTCCCAGCCATCTGCTTCCTGGGAATTTACCCAAATGAAAAGAAATCAGTGTATGAGAGAGTGATCTTGTAATCCAAAAACTGTACTTTGGAAATTTATATTTATTAAATAAAAGTTAAAAAAAGAGTGATCTGTACAACCATGTTTATTGCAGCTCAATTCGTAATAGCTAAGATATGGAATCAACCAAATGTCCATCCACTGATGACTGGGGAAATAAAATGTGGTGTATGTACACTATGGAATACTACAAGGATGTAAAAAGAATGAAGTCCTGTGTTTCACAACAGAATGGATGCAACTGGAAACCATTATACTTAAATAAGCCAGTCTTCAAAAGACAGATACCATGTTTTCTCTGATATGTGGCAGTTAATATAGAATACAAAAAATTACAGGGTTAAAAGGGAATCTTGTGATATGATTGCTTATATACCTGTGGAACTGTGGTCTTCCTACTTTCTATTTGTTCAATGTTGTAGTTAGTGGTGAATTAAGCCTGTGATTATAGAGTGGATTAAAATTATGTCACTGCAAAAAATTCACCTTTTAAAAGGTTCAAAACAGAATTATTTTATCATCCTCCACTTGATATACCTGTTTCAACTACTTTTTTTTACTTCCTGAATCCTCTACCTTTCTTACTCTTATTTCCTCTTTTTTACTTCTGTGTGTTTTGATTTTCCTCAGATCAAAAATTCCCTTTAAATGGAACTAAAATTCAGTTTCTTCAGTGGCACTCACAATTTAAGCTGTTGCTGATGGCTGGTAAAATGCAAAACTTATCAGCATTTTACTTACCTTTTTCCTTACTATGCATATAATAGGTTAGTTCCTTTTATTATTAGAACTTATCTGTGCTCATATTTTAGACAAACATTCTGTCAAATGACTTTTAAAAAATTAGCTCTTACCTTGTAGTTGTTCATTTATATCTTTCCTTCTTTGATCAGCAGGCCCATATTTGCCAACATATTTCTGAAGAGGACATTTAGAAATATGCTGTAATAATTAGTGTCAACAATAAGTTATATAACTACTTCACAGGTTCTAAGCAAAGAAACGAATTTCAAATTTTAAAAGCAGTTCAGCTTACAAGTGAGAGAAGCATATATTGATACTAAAGTGAGTTTTTCCCAGTAAATATCTTCAAAAAGTTATAGCAATATTTAAGAGCAGTATTTATTTCCTTAGCTTCCCAAATATGCCAGGCACTTATTTACACATTTTTCTTTACATATAATATAAAAATGACAGGAAATATGGTTATCCCGTTTCATATGTCCTGGCCATTCCCCAGTGCTAAAAACAAATTGATATTTGAATGAGATCCACTGTTCCAGGACTCGGTCCATTCTTTCCTCTTCCTAGACTATCACAGGGATGGTGCATTCTTACCCTTCAGGCAGCAGCTTCAGTACCAAACTCAGAAGGATCTTCTCTGACTATGAAATTCCACACCCATTTCCATGCCCAGGGTGAGCCCACAGTGACTACACTCCCCACCCACACGTTCACAGGAACCACAAAAAGGATCTGTTTGCCTCAGTGTGAGCCCAGAACCCTCTGCAATGACCCACCCCAGGCCCTCAGTGAAATCTGAGCCTCAGAAGCTGGATACAGTGATTCCTAGAGAACCAGCTATCCCCCATGCCCTATCATGGCGTTACAGCACGCTCAGTCATAGCATGCAGGGCTCCACAGGCACAGGGAGCAGGCTGTTCTGTCTACAGTCTAGAGGTTTTCCCAGAGCCAGCTGCTTGTCAGTGCTCCACCTTGGTAGGTTGAGTCTGGGTGCACATGATAGAGTAAGGGGCGGAAAGTGCCTCTCAAGCCTCAGTGGGCTTCCTGCCCCCTGCCAGCCAACAGAATCAAAGTCAGTGGGGACTTCGGGTTTATCCCTCCAATAACATTCCCTAGTTGTGCATGCAGGCAAGGCACAACAGCCTCTGCTTGTCTTATTAAGATGGTGTTTCTTCCCTGCTAGTTGCCAGATGCCTTTATGGGGGGATCAGAAGAAAACCATGTGTTCTCCCTTCATGAGGCTAGGTGGACACCCTGACCCTGCTAGTGTTCCAGGCCAAAATCAAAACAAGTTTGGTGTGCAAAGATCTCCCTTTGGTGATATCACCAAACAGGTTGCTGCAGACTCCTCTCATTTCACTTCAAGAAGATGGTATCTCCTACAGTCCCTGGCTGTGGGAGTTGCTGGTGATGTCCCCACTCACTCCTGGGTGTTTGTACCGTCCACACTGCTCCATGGTGTCTCTTCTTTCTGTAGAATTTCCACTGCAAACCTCTCTTCAGCTTCTCCTGGGAATGCAGTTACTCTGCTTTTCTTTATATCTCTCAGGCCAAAATCAACATGTTTCTCCCTATTTAACAATCTTGGATCTCCCTTTTAATACCTTATTTCTAAGTGCTCTAGGAAATATATAAATATTACCTAATTTCCAATAGCTCACAGCGATGAAGGAGCTTACATGAATACTTATAGTACCAAATACAAAAATTTCTAAAATTTTAATCTTTAGAAAGTGATATAAGGACTTAAATTAGATTTTTTTAAACAAACAACAGTCCAAAATATTTCTGGGCCAGCACTGTGGTGCAGAGGGTTAATGCCCAGGCTTGAAATGCTGGCATCCCATATGGGCACTGGTTCTAGTCCCAGCTGCTCCTCTGCTATGGCATGGGAAAGCAGAAGGTGGCTCAAGTGCTTGGGCCCCTGCACCCATGTGGGAGACCCGGAGGAATCTCCTGGCTTCAGATCGGTGCAGCTCTGGCTGTTGCAGCCATCTGGGGAATAAACCATGGATGGAAGCCTCTAACTCTGTCTTTCCAAATAAAGAAAATTAATCTTTTTTTTTTTTGACAGAGTGGACAGTGAGAAGAGAGACAGAGAGAAAGGTCTTCTTTTTCCATTTGTTCACCCCACCAATGGCAACTGGGCCGGCGCACAGCAGCTGGCACACTGCGCTGATCTGAAACCAGGAGATAGGTGCTTTCTCCTGGTCTCCCATGTGGGTGCAGGGTCCAAGGACTTAGGCCATCCTCCACTGCCTTCCCGGGCCACAGCAGAGAGCTGGACTGGAAGAGGAGCAACCGGGATGGAATTTGGTGCCCTAACTGGGACTAGAACCCGGTGTGCTGGTGCTGCAGGCAGAGGATTAGCCTATTGAGCCGTGGCACTGGCCAATAAAATAAATCTTTTTAAAAAATTCTGAAATTAATTTTTTTCATATGTTGTTAAGAGTTTCTGCTTCTAGAACTTATTATTGTATTGGGAAAAACATGTATTCTCTTATATGCAGAGTTTTAACTATGCAGTTAATGGAATGACTTAGAAAAAAGAGTGGAATCCATTGTGACCCAAAATTGAAATTTCCATAATTTCTAATATCACAATAGTCAAAGTTCAGAACCAAGAATAGAAATGGGGAAAATTGTCTCCTAAAAATTACATGATGGCAAAATAAAAGATCTAAGAAAAGAAAAAAATTCCCTGACATATGCTAACAGTTTCAGAACTGAAGCACACCAGGGAGATCCCATGATTACTATAACAGCTAATTTGGTTCAGTCATGATTTGTTTAGGCACATTCATTCTAAAAGGTTGATATGATTTAAAAGTCACAGTGTTTTATAAATGCACCCTTGACCAAATTTTATATTCCCTCTAGTGCAGTAAAGTGTTTCCTATTAATGTTCCCCTATATATTTCTCAGCCCATTCTTTTCACTCTTACCTTTTTAAAGTGTATACTTATTTTTGATATTTACCAAACTAAAAGCATTTTAAAATGACAACTAATCATATTTCTACAAAATTATTTTCTCTAACCAACTTTCCATTAAACATGTGAGATGATGATACATAGAGCACTGCTCTATTTTAAAAGTAAATAATATATAAGGTCGGTGCCGTGGCTCACTAGGCTAATCTTCCACCGTGCGGCACTGGCACACCGGGTTCTAGTCCCGGTTGGGGCACCGGATTCTATCCCGGTTGCCCCTCTTCCAGGCCAGCTCTCTGCTGTGGCCAGGGAGTGCAGTGGAGGATGGCCTAGGTCCTTGGGCCCTGCACCCCATGGGAGACCAGGATAAGTACCTGGCTCCTGCCATCGGATCAGTGTGGTGCACCGGCCATGGCAGCCATTGGAGGGTGAACCAAGGGCAAAAGGAAGACCTTTCTCTCTGTCTCTCTCACTGTCCACTCTGCCTGTCAAAAAAAAAAAAAGTAAATAATATATAGAACTAAATTCTGACCAAGAACATTTGTTTCATAATAGAGCATTTACCTTGGCATCAAAATCATAGTCTTTTTCTTCTGATTTAGACAATGGATCACCAAGATGAAGTTTGATGGCAAGTCTTTAGAGAAAAATACATAAAAGTGTGAGAGATCAGTTATCTGTATATTTGATTATCCTTTATATAATTAAATTTGCCCTTTTAAAAAAGATTTATTTATTTGAAAGTCAGAGTTGCAGAGAGAGAGAAGGAGAGGAAGAGAGAGAGAAAGAGGTCTTCCATCCTCTGGCTCACTCCCCAGTTGGCTGCAATGGCCGGAGCTGTGCCAATCCAAAGCCAGGAGCCAGGAGCTTCTTCCAGGTGTCCCATGTGGGTGCAGGGGCCCAAGCACTGAGACCATCTTCTACTGCTTTCCCAGCCCATAGTAGAGAGCTGGACTGGAAGAGGAGCAGCCGGGACTAGAACCCATATGGGTGCATTGACCTGTGCCCCAGCACAGGCCCCTCATTACTTCAATTTTAATTCTCAACTTGCTGATACTGGACAGAAAAACAAAGTTTTGAAATATGCTAGAGTTCTGAGAGAATATATGAAGTATGTAATATGTGTTCAGGTCAAATTTGATAAATGGATTGCAGGAAGGTTAAATACAGTTGGAAAGTTCAACATCTTTTTAAAGAAAAAGTCCAAAAGGTAAAGAAATAATTTTTCTATAGTAATGACCATTTATTTTTGCTGTTTTTAATTTTCAGAAGGACACATAATATAAAATGGTTATTATCAATACATAAGCAATAAAGTTTATAGTATGAAAAATATATAATTAAAAGCATAAATAATAATAGAAACCCAGATAAAAAATTTCCTTTACTTTGGAAGAGGTTAAAAGTTAGTATAAATAATCCATAAACATTTAATTGCAAGTAACTCATTTTATCTTGCTAGATTCATATTTTTCCTCTTTCCAAGGATTCTTCTGTTAACCTTTTATTAGAATTTTTATGTGTTCATTGTAGAGATAACAAATAAAAAAGAAAATTTCACATATAAATCACCAGCCTGAAATATCACCTTTTATCATATTTTGTACATTTTCTTAGCTAACATATGCATAAACTGATTTTTTCCTTACATGGCATACCAGATATATCTGTGCATGCCCACATATATCTGTCTATGCCAGTTTCAGTGGTCATACATGACTGCATCCTGTAGATGCATTATAGTTGGTAACATCCATTGGGAGTTCTTCTTAGTAAGTTGCTATTTTAAGTAGCGCTGGGTAAATAAATTGATTTATCTTTGGCTACTTTTGAAATATACTGTTATATAATATAATTGAAGAGTAGAATGCATGCATTTTTAAATGTTGTACAATACACAACATGAAATTGTTTATTTTAAAAGTCATAGGCAACATAACCTTTAAGCAACACTGTACATTCTGCTCTTTATTCTCACAAATTGATAGAAAACAGTATTTTAATTCCCATTTTAGCTTTTTTTTAAAGTCACAAGAATTTTATTATAGTAAACAGTCTCATGGTATTTGACAGAACTCAGAACTCTTCTTTGAGATAGGTTCAAATCTGTGAAAACAAAGCCAGCCATAATGAAGTCTTTATTTAAAAAAAAATCAAACAACCAAAGATACATTTCAAAAAGCAAAATATAAAAACAGAAGCCAAAAACAACAGAAAAGATAGCTAAGCAATAGATTTAAGAAACTTTGATTCCATCCATCTGACTTGTTGGTAACTGTTCTGTTTGTCCTTCCACTGCTATCTCTGTAAAAGTGGTATGATAATTTAAGACAACCTAAGACCTATTAGAAGCTTTAAGGAATTATTGAAAAAGTGTTCAAATGTTTTACAAATACTACCAACAAACACATTATACTTTTTATCTTGCTCCAGTGAAAGTGTCTCTTTAAATCAGACTCTGCTCTGTAAGTTTCAAACTCTCATCTAGAAAGATGTTAGCTTTCTTCCCAAGTAATACTCGGTTTATCACTACATTTCTGATTAAGACAGACAATTAATACCACAATTGTCCTACCTAAGGCAAAAAGAACTTTATCACATTTGGTAGTCCCTAGACTCAGTTCAATCAAATGATGAGTCATTCAATTAATATTTTATTAATTGTTACTCAAGCATTTTTCAAGTATCATTTTGAAATTACATCCTATCTCAGTGTGAGGTTTCTTAAACAGGAAGAATTTCATTTCTGTTAATATCTGCAGTGCCAGCTGTTTCATTAAATAGATATTTTTCTCTTTAAGAAGCTGCTCCAGTGAAGAATCATTTCTTATATATCATGTCCAGATCCAAAAAGAAACATTTTTCTGTGAAAAGAAATACTCAAGAAATGTGAAAACTTTCTGTAATCAAAGGATTGCCTACCTCTTAAAAGCATGTAATCACCCCTACAGTTTGGTGAAGAATTAAAAGTTTTCACTAGTGGCTTACAGCTCATCAGATGTACTGTTCACCTTTGGTAATTCACATTCTTCACTGTTCTGACAACCCTGAAGGATGTCCTTGTAGTAGTTCTTCAGATCCTCATACAAAGAAACAGTTTCCTGTGAGTGAGCCAAGGGTAACACCTTTTCATTCAGGAACATCTGCACTTGGAATTGTTCTTTAGGAGTCAGCGTCCTCACAATGGTAAAACACAAATATCAGGTTTGAGGCATAAGGTACAATGTGACCACTTCGGAACTTCCGGTGCATTTGTTCCTTATAATTATAAGCTGTCAGGGGCTCCTTGTCTTTGAAGTAGCCCATGAGAGAAAGCAGTGGTAGAAGGGTCTCTGCATGACTAAACTGGAGAATGACTGGAGAAGAAATCGGTTGAGATCTTTGCTTCTGTTCAACTGCTTTGTCTAAGTGCTGGAAGATATCCTGAAACAAGGTGCAACTGGATCGACTATTAATAGTATAGCCATGTCCTCTTTTCCAGTACTGTTTCAGGTCATTTAAATATTCTAATACCTTTGTATCATCTATGTCAAAAACATCACACCAAGGAGACTTAACACCTTTAATTGCCAGGTCAAATGAACAGGTAAAAAAAGCTACCTGAATTAAATCTGCATTTAAATCATTTACTGGCACTTGCAAAGTAGCTGCAACTTTCTTTAAAATGTTCTGCATTTCTGGTCCAGTTTTGAAGGCTTCTACGTGATAAAGAGCCGTAGCATTCCTTCCCATTTCAGTTAAAAACTTCTCACAATGATCAAAGAATCTCATCAATTTATCATTAATCCTTGGAGGTCCACACTCCGTATCTGCGACGTCCGGCGGCGGCAACCCAGGGTGGTAGTGCTGCCACAGCCCCTGCAGGAAGGCGGCGCCGCTGTCCACGCAGCGGTGCTTGGAGCTGGTGAGGAGACGGAGGCGGCCGTAGTTCTCCCGGCTGAAGAGGGCCGGGAACAGCGATGCCAGGCGTAGCGCCAGCTGTCGCATGTCCTGCCGTCCCTTTTCCACCAGCTGCCCGTCCATCCAGTCGGCGTACCCCAGGGGCCAATCGGCCAGCGCCGCGCCCAGGTGGCGACCGCCCGCACTGCTGCGGCCGCGGGCCTGCAGCAGCCCGTGCAGCTGCCTCAGCTTGCGTATCTGTTTAGCCGTGGGGTAGCGGGTGCCATGGCGGATGAGGGCGACCAGCTGCACCGGGGTGCAGGTGCACCTCGGGGTCCAAAACCAGCCTGGGGTTGACATCCTCGTAGCGAGTCTTGGTGCCAAAGTAGGGGCTCAACACCGAGGCCACTGGGTCACTGGGCCCCAGGAGGGAGCAGCACATGAGAGATGAGAGCAACGCCGCAGCCAGGGCCACGGCAGGTGCTACGGCAGCCCCCATTTTAACTTGAAGTTTTTGTCTTGAGGCCTGACATTGTGGTGCAATGAGTTAAGCTGCCACTTGGAATTCCAGCATCCTGTATCAGAGTTCTGGTTTGGGTCCCGCCTGCTGAACTTCGATCCAATTTCTTGCTAATGAGCTTGGGAAGGCAGTGGAAGGTGGCTTAAGTATTTGGGCCCCTGAAACTCACGTAGGAGACCAGGATGGGGTTCCTGGATCCTGGCTTCACCCTAGCCAGACTTGGCTGTTGTGACTATTTGATAAGTGAACAGTAGATAAGACTGCTTCCCTCCCTCCCTCCCTCCCTCCCTCCCTCCCTCCCTCCATCCCTCCCTCCCTGTCTCTCCTTCTCTCCCTCTCTCCCTCCTTCCCTTTTTCTCTCCACCAACTCTTCCCATCTCTGTAACTCTTTCAAATAAATTATTTTTAGAAAGTTTTTATTTAATAAATATAAATTTATTTATTTTTCTTTCGTTTTTATTTGACAGAGTTATATAGATAGTGAGAGAGAGAGAGAGAGATAGAGAGAAAGGTCTTCCTTCTATTGGTTCACCCCCCAAATGGCCACTATGGCCAGCGCTGTGCCGAAATGAAGCCAGGAGCCAGGTGCTTCTTCCTGGTGTCCCATGCAGGTGCAGGGGCCAAGCACTTGGGCCATCCCCCACTGCCCTTCCAGGCCACAGCAGAGAGCTGGACTGGAAGAGGAGCAACCGGGACTAGAACCCAGCACCCATGTGGGATGCCAGCACCACAGGTGGAGGATTAACCAAGGGAGCCATGGTGCCAGCCCCAATAAATTTAAATTTCATAAGTACAACTTTTGGATTATAGCTGTTCTTCCCCCCATAACCACCCTCCCACCCCCAAACTGTCCCACCTCCTACTCCCTTTCCCATCCCATTCTTCATTAAGATTCATTTTAAATTATCTTTATACACAGAAGATCAACTCTATACTAAGTAAAGATTTCAGCTGTTTGCACCCACAAAGACACACAAAGTATAAAGTACTGTTTGAACACTAGTTTTACTGTTAATTCTCATAGTACAACTCATTAAGGACAGAGGTCCTACATGGGGAGCAAAGTGCACAGTGAATCCTGTTGTTGATTTAACAATTTACACTCTTATTCATGACCTCAGTGATCCCCTGAGGCTCCTGTCATGAGCTGCCAAGGCTATGGAAGCCTTTTGAGTCCACAAACTCCATCAGTATTTAGACAGGGCCACAAGCAAAGTGGAAGTGCTCTCTTCCCTTCAGAGAAAAGTACATCCTGCTTTGATGACCCCTTATTAGGCAGATTAGAATGCCTTAAGGGCTGATTCTGAGGCCAGAGTGCTGTTTAGGGCATTTGTCATTCTATGAGTCTGCTCTGTATCCCGCTTCCCATGTTGGATCAGTCTCTCTTTTTAATTCTATTATTATTAGCAGAAACTTGATCTTATTTATGTGATCCCTTTGACACTTAGTCCTTTCTATATGATCAGTTACACACCTAATATGACCACTTTAATGTGTAAGATGGCATTAGCACCTGCCAACATAATGGAATTTGGAGTCCCATGACAAATTCTTAGCTTTACTCTTAGGTGTAAGTCCATGGGAACATGTGCCGAACTGTACATCTCCTCCCTCTCTTATTCACATTCATATATTTTTTTAAACAGGGATCAATTTTCAATTGGATTTAAACAACTAAGGATAATTTTGTGTTAAGTAAAAAGTTTAACCAATGGTATTAAGTAGAAAAAGAAAATACTAAAAAGGATAAAATAGTGAGCTGTTCCTAAGCAGTCAGAACAAGGGCTGATCAAGTCATTGCTTCTCATAGTGTCAGTTTCACTTCTACAGGTTTCCTTTTAGGTGCTCAGTTAGTTGTCACAGATCAGGGAGAATATATGATATTTGAATATAGCGCTACCATATGACCTAGCCATCTCACTCTTTGGAATTTACCCAAGGGAAATTAAATCAGCAAATAAAAGGGCTTTCTGCACCTCCATGTTTATTGCAGCTCAATTCACAGTAGCTAAATGCCTGTCAATGGAAGACTGGATAAAAAAATTATGGGATATGTAAACTAAGGAATACTACACAGTGGTAAAAAATGAAATCTGGTCATTTGCAACAAAATGGAGGAATCTAGAAAACACCATACTGAGTGAAATAAGCCAGTCCCAAAGGGACAATTAGCAAATAAATAAATTATTAAAAATTCTTTCTCTTACCAAGGACAATAAATCCTTTTTTCTATGCCATTGGTTGCTAATTGGCAAAAAAGTACTTTGTTTATTTCAAAGAATTCTCTGTAAAGTGGATTTTTCATCTGAAATATATATTTTGCAAGTGTTTTGGAAAATAGTTGTTATTTATTTTTGTATTTTATACAAGTCATTTTAATTTTTAAATTTATTTTTATTTTCTTTTTGTTTAAAAAGAAGTGAATGAGGCAGAAAGAACTTTCCATTTCCTGGTTGACTCCTCAAGTGCCCACAACAGCCAGGTCTGGGGCATGCTGAAGCCTGAAATCTCTGAGTCTCCCATTTGGGTTCCTGGGACCCAACTACTTGCACCTTCACTTCCATCATCCCCAGGCTTACATCCCCAGAACGCTGGACTTGGAAGCAGAGCTGAGACTTCACCTCAGGCATCCATGGAGTGCAGGTGTCTCAGGTGGCATCTGAACCCCTGTGCCAAATGCCAGGGGGATTTAGTTTTTATTTTACTCAGTGAGCCTTCAGAATGATTGCTTTTGAGGAAACCGTTAGTAAGGCTTTTGATCACACAAAGCCATTGAAGGGACTGTGTTTTCTCCTAGCACTTTTCTCGTTTTCTGTATTTAAAATTGGTAATATTTAGTACATCAAGAATGTAGTTTTGTGACATAAAATCCTAGCCAGTTTCCCCAAATTAACAGGCATCATTTGTAAGTAATCCACCTTTGCCTAGTAATATGAAACATGACCACTATCAACTTGTAATTTCTTACATATATTTGGAGTTTTAGTCACTTATCTTCATTTATTGGTCAATAAATTGTTCAGTGGTCAGTAAAATATGGAAATTTGCACATTTTTTATAATCACAAGGCCATTCTTTATATATTACAAATCAGTGTCATCAGAACAGTAAGATCATGTGTAACTCAAAAAGTTTAAATCCCTCCTGTTTTATTTGGTTTATATAAAATAGAAAAACAGATGAGGAGCTCACATTTCGAGAAAAAAATGAGTCTTCCTGTTCAGGAACATGAAACGATCTTCCCGCTTCAATGTTTCCTTCTCAGATCTTTCAGAAGGGTAGGTGTGCGCTGACAGGAAATGTGTGCACGGATATAAAAGGGATACTGGATTCCACGCAAAGAATTTCAGCCCGGAAACTGATATATTATGGAAATTTTTCTCTCATTTCCACTTTTCTATAATGCATACAGCAGTGTGTGTGTGTAACGTGTACACTAAGCTTTATCGAGTTTGGTTGATGATGTCACTTTAAGTGGCCAATACAGCAGTCTGTGAGGAGAACTGTGAGTAGAGGAGAAGCAGCTGAAGTTTCGGCTCTGTTGCAGCTTCTCAGAAGCCGGCCGAGGCGCTCGGGTTCCCTGTCCCAGGCGCTGCGGGGTCAGCACAGGTGGCGACCCTGCATCGCGGTGACAGGAGGGCCCCGGGAGGTGCGGGCTTCTCCCGTCACTGCCAGCTCGCCGTCCCCTTACCTCTTCTGGTCCCTGTCATTTTCTCCCAGCCAAATCTTCTCCAGGACCCTGTGGCGCGGACGATAGACCAGCCGCGATTGATTCCCGGAATCCTCAGAGGTGTCAACGGAGAAGCCCAAGAGCCGCCGGCTCCTCCTACCCGCCAAGGTGAAAATCTTCTTCATCGCCCCTGCCGGCGGCTCTGGAGCCCTGGCTCTGGGCGGATAACAGTGGCCAAACAGCCAGGGAATGTGTGTGCGGAGAGGGTGGGGGCGGGGGCGTGCGGCGGAGGTGGGGGGGCGGCCAGTTCGCTGCGCATGTGCAAGCTCCAGGGGTTCCCAAACAGCGATTATTTTGCCTGTAAAATTTGAGGATACGTGCCTGAGTGTTAGGGACGTTTTGCAAAAGAAAGACTCATCGCTGTGCACAAGCCATCTCTGCACTCACCTGGGACTCCAGTGGTGGAAACTTCACCACGATGAAGGCCTCATTTCCGGGAAGACGCTCCTTGCCCCTGGTTTATGACCCCTTCTACATCCTTCTGGGTCCCAGCCAGTATCCCTTGAAATTTAGGGGGTTCACAACAAAAGGCTGTTTTCATGAGTTCCTGCATGGTGGCGGTATGTGTCATTATGTGAAAGTCTGTGAGAACTCAGTGCGCATCTTGCAGAAAACACACAACCCCACTTATGCACACCTCGTGTTGTTTGCTCTTTGACTCAGGGTTACCTTTAAGGTTTTCTGACTTTCACTTCTTGCGATTTTCCCTAAGTGAATCTTTAGTCCATGACGACTTTTGGAGCATAGTGTAATATTTAAGAGCTTCTTTTAAAAACAGCTTTTCAGAGACCTTCTTTGTACCCAACAGTTCATCTTTTGGCATTAGGTTAAAGGTCACTTTATTTTATCTGAAGTCCCTAGGTTCTGTTTCTGAGTGTTACTGTCTGCTTCGTGAAACAGAACAGCACTGCCTTTGCTTCTTTATCAATAAAATGTACAGCATTTTGATGTCCGTTACAGTATCAAGTTTCTGCCTCCTTACTCCTCTTTTTAGTGTTCTTTTGGTAGTGTTTACATTATTTTAGATGAATTGTTAATTACTTTGCCAAATCGGAGGATTCCTTAGTGGGATTAGATTTTAATTGAGTTAGGAAAATAATTTTAACAGAATCAATCTTTTGTAACAGTCCTACTGGGTAAATATTGTCTTTGTTTAATTCTTAATTTAGAACTTTATTTATTTGACAGCGAGCGAGCGCCCCCAGCTCCTCCTCTGGTTCTTACTCCAAATGCCCTCGATGGCTAGGATTGGGCCACACTGAAGCCAGGTGCTATGAACTCAATCACGGTCTCCCATTTGGGTTGCGGACCCAAATACTTGTGCCATCACCTGTGACATACCAGGATGCACGTTAGTAGGAAGCTGGAATTGAGAGGAGCTGGGGAAGGGGCAGTGTTGTGACGTGGTGTTAAAGCTGCCGCCTGTGACACAGCATCCTGTATGGGCCGTGGTTTGTGTCCTGGCGACTCCACTTACCATCCAGCTGCCTGAGAATGGTCTGGAATAAGCAGAGGAAGCAGGCTCAAGTGTTGGGCCCCTGTTGCTGATGTGGGAGGCCCAGACATTTCTAATTTCTGGCTTCATTGTCTCTCTCAACTCTGGCTTTCAAAATAAAAATAGTTAAAAAAAAAAAGCAGAGAGGAGCTGTAACTCAAAACCTGATACTCTGAAATGGAATGTGGGTGTTCCAACTGGTGTCTTAACTGGCAGGCCACAGGTCTACCCCTGTACTACACATTTTACATGAATTATTGTGAATTACCATCTCAAACAGTTTTTGCAACAAAACAAACTTTTACCTCAAATTTCTATCAACTTTTTGAAATACCCACATTTGTGTATATGTAATTTCAATAACTTGAGTAAGAAACATGTGAGTACAACTTCCAAACAAGGTTTTAAAGTATTTAACTGCCTAACACCAGTTTCTTTCTTGGTCCTTCCTGATTTTCCCATTATCTCCAGCTGAGCAGAGTTGGAATCCTGAAAGCCTCCAGCCCTGGGTATGCTGCATTGCTGTTGATGACAGGCCACAGAGACATACCAGTTTAGATGCTCTACCCTGATCATGCCCATAGCACATACAAGCTAAAAGTTTGTTGCAATTCCCAATAGTCTTCCAACATTAGCATGAAATCTATGAAGAATAAATGAAAATTAATACCAATATTTCTGTTCTCACTACTGATTTTTTAAGATTTATTTTATTTATTTGAATGAGTGAGTTACAGGTGAAATGATTTATGAGAAAAGGTGCATTGCTAATCCACTTGAATTGACACCCAGTCAGCAAAGTTTCCTGGCCTCATCCCTAAAACATCAACTGAGGTTTCCATTATCCATGGAGAAATACCCATGATTTCACTTTCAATATTAAACCATGGCCATCATTTATAACTTTACTATTCACATTGAAGTGAGGATTAAATTTTGTTTTATATCATTCAGATGACTGCTGAGGTGTCTGAACACCTGCATTGACATGTTTCCTATTTCATAGTCCATATTGCCATGTTTTTCATGCTACTTCTGGAATCCCCCTTGTGTTTCTCTGCCTGACTTTGCACATGTTTTTACTGTGTCATTTGAATGGTGTAAGACTATCATTGACCTTTAATAAATGGTAACCTCTCTATTATGAATTGGATATGACTTGCTCCCCCAGATCATTTAAACTCCAGAGTCTTATGTTAACAATTGATCAATTTAAAGTAGATACTTGTTCTAATTATGGCTTTTGTTAGGTGAATCTGCTGGAGGAGACTTTAGGTCTTGCAGGCTTGCCCTCAGAGAGTGGTTCTCATGCGAAGATTGGTTGTTTAACCTTGGCATGCTTGCTGTGTCTCTCCCTGTGTTTCCAGGCTCACCATGGGATCATCCCTCCACACAAGCTTCACCATCGCCAGCCTCACCAGAGCTAGTCTATGTGGCTGTCCGATATTCAACTAAGGATCTCCGAGCTGTAAGCAAAAATAAGCATTTTCTTTCCTGAGTAGCTCCTCTCTTGTATGTTAAAGTAATGAAAAGCTGACTAACGTTCCATACCAATCACAGGAGAAAGCATGGCCCTCCTGTATGTGGTGTTCAGCAGCAAGGTAGGTGCCATGCATACTGAGCTGGCAATTTTTTCTTTCCATTTACTAGTCCTCTGCACCTCAAGGCAGGCAGCCCACATCATACACCCAGAAACCCAAAGTGATGTCAGTGGGGCAAGTCAGTCACTGTGTCAGCTCTGAATTTTGCAGGGTTTTGAATGCCTAGATCATGATACTGCTTCTACGATGTGTTCAGGTCATATTTGATAAATGGATTGCAGGAATGATTTAATATAGTTGGAAAGTTCAACATCTTTAAAGAAAAACTCCACATCTAAAGAAAGAAATAATTTTTCTATAGTAATGACTATTACTATTTGCTGTTTTTTAATTTTCATAAGGACAGATAATATAAAATGTTTATTATTAATACATAGAAAATAAAGTTCTACACTTCCTCCTCCTATCCACCCCCCCCCTTACACCCAGGAGCTCCATTCTCTCCTTTGTACTCTTATGCCCTTCACTGGTGCCTCTGTTGTGATCACCAGCTCTTTACTGTGTGCTGTGTGTCCCATCCCTGTGAAGTTCTCATTCTTCAAAGGGACAGATCTTACCCCTTCCACAGCCAGGCACATTACCCCTCTCCCATGTCACATTTGCATTTTTGCTTTTGTAGGCCATCTCTTTCCTCATCTAAATGGACACCTGCTGTCACCTGCTGTTGGGGTGGTGATGTAGCCCACTGTATGTCATCAGAATATCAATCCAAGTTACAGGGCCCCCAGACAGCCTCACCCTTGTATTGTAAATCCCTGCAGTACCATCGGGACATTTTTGTAATGATTTACAGTGAGAGAAAAGATCAGTACAGTTTACAAGTCAGTTCCCTCAGTGAAGATCATCATACCAGACATTGGAGGTGGAGGTGCTGGATGAGGTCCAAGAGCCCATGAGCGTGTAGGAGGTGACTGGTAGCCCATGAATGGTGCTGATGGCATACCCATGGGCTCAGGCACATAGGGGAATCCTAGGAAAGAAGAGGATAATCCTACATCCATATTGAAGGGCAGAGCACGAGTTCACGTGTGCAAATATATCAGTCTGATGGATGCAAGCAACACCAATGAATGCTGAACCAGAGTAGAGGAAGGGATAGGTGCTTCTCCACCTGATATCAAATAAGAAGCATCAGAGTCACAAAACTCTCCTCTTTCACTGGGTTCTGGCAGCCTGAGGAATGAAGGGAAGTCACAGGGATAAAAGGATGTGGCCTCACATCTGCATGTGTGCAGGCAAAGAACAAAGAAGGCAAGGACTATCCCAGAACATAAGCAGAGCCTTTACTGGTTTGCTGAGTTAAAGACACATTCCATAGACAATGTCTATGTCCAGGACCACCCCCAGCCTCCCATCCTTAGTTGTGTTCTCCAGGGCTGTGGATATCATTGATCACCCACGTGGAAATCTGATGAATTTTCTCTCTTAAAATGCACAGTCCCCTTGGAGATATCTGAAAGGTGAATCATGACAGACTGGTTTTCCTCCACCCCCCACTGTAATTCAAATTTAAAGCCCAAGCTATTGTATGACATAGAAAAGTGACATATCCACTTTCCTTTGAGTTTCTATAAAGTTTGAAAGTTAGAGTTAAGATGATTTGCTGCTAAGGCCTTATACTTTTTACTAATGTTTTATTTACTCTTTAAATCCATTCATGAGAGAGACTTGTGAAACCTCTCACCATGCTTGTATGTTAGGTTCTACCTGAAGTACTGTGATCAGTTATTTAGTATATTTTGCCCCCATCAGTGACTGTGGGAAACACGAGGAGTTCCAACAGAAAGGATCTACCCAGAAGGGGGCCACTGAGGAGCTACAGGAAGAACCAGAGTCAGAAGTAGAAAGAAGTTTGCAGAGGTTCTGTTCTTGGTTTGTCTCCTTGTGCTGGCTCAGCCGGGCAGGGTTGTTCTACACATCAGGTGGGGTTACATGGCAGGGAATTGGTCAGGAGAGTATGAACATCCCAGGTGGGAGAGGTGACCACCAAAGAGGAGAACAGAGACCCAGAGTCCTGATTTGTGCCATCCCTCACTTACTCCTGAGACTCCCATCCTTAAGTATGCCCAACTGGTCTGTGGATCATCTCCCACTGATCTCTGAACCCTGCTCCCAAACCCTACTTTGACCCTGACACTGTTCACCCTGCTCTCCTCTTCCTGCCACACTGCTCCTCATCCCCAACCTAATTGTGACCTATTACTGCCACACCCCATCCCCCACCTAATGGATAGCCAATCACTGCCCTGCCCTGTTGGCAAGCCAATTGTGAGCTCAGTCCTTGCCCCGCCCTAAGTCACACCCTTCTCCTCTACCCCCCACCCTAGTCTCTCACTCCTGGTAACTCAGTGCACTGAGAGGACCCGGACATGAAGGTATGGAGGTGGATCTTCTGGCTCCCTGTGCTGGGGTTGCCCAGTCACACAGCACAGAATGTGAGTAAACACCAGATTCACTTTGGTCTCTTTCCTTCTATTGGCTGTGTCCCACTGTGGTTTAGATAACACCATTTCACTGGCTCTTGCACAGCCATCCAGTCCTTTCCAAAGATGAAAGTTAGACATCACAGGTGTCGTGGCCAGGCTGACAAACCTCTGCCACACCTGTGACATCAACTTCTGCTTGATCAACAGCAGGAAAGCCTGACAGGGTGGAATCCTGAAAACAGTAACCTCATAGTATCAAAAGAGGATGTGTGGATATGCTAGAAGCCACTGGATTACATGTTGTAGTGGTGAAAATAACACAGGAAACACTGATTTCTTGAGTCATGATTGTTAGCCTGGTTCCTGCAGGATCTGTGGGAGATCCTCAGCTGCTGCTCCTTTGGTTCCATCACACATGTAGCAGTGTCACTGAGATAAGACTCATGTGTGTTGACACCAGGCAGCCTTGAAACAGTGGTACCGAGTGAGTGGTATTAGTACTAGATTGTTGCAAGTGAACTGTCACTTCTGCTGTGGATTATCTGCTTTGTTGACTTTGGTAACTTTTGAGTCATTCTTTTCCTCAGCTCTTGGAGGCTGTCCCTAGGGACACTATTTGAAGGGAGCCCAGAGACAGACATGAGATGTGAAAATAAGTACCTGCATCCTGCCAGGATGCTCATAATAGGGGAGGCACTCAGAGTGATATGAACAAGAGGTGAATTAGTTACCCTCCTTCCTTGTAAGAGCTGTGTCATGTGCCGACTGCTACTTTATCCAAATGAGAAAGAGTCCGTACTGTTAGGAGTACACACTGTCCATTAGAGTCCATACTGTCCTTAAATGCCAGATTTCTGCTGGAAAGTATTCATTCTTACATTAAGAAATCACACTTCTCCTATACCCAGGAGAGAAAGGAGAGCGACTGAGAACAACACACAGATATAAGTAAATTTGCATGAATTAGCAAGCATCAGAT